CCCAAGGCCGTTTGGTACCTCCCCGTGCAGCTGTAGATGCAGGAGAAGAGCCACACGGGAGAGATGGGGCCACATTGCACGGGGCTCATGTGTGGGCCCTGGCGGGTGGGGGGCGCGGGGGGACAGAAGCTTCGCCCAGGGACAGAGCTTGAGCTCAGGCATCGCTGCTTTGGGCACTCTGGGGCACCATCAGTCACTTGTCCCCAGTCTGTACGGAGAGGGGAGGCCAGGGTTATCTGATGGGATTGGGGATGTGACCTGTTGCCTTGGAAACGATGCTGCTGCAGAGCTGGTAGGGCCCAGTCCCCGCTGTGTCCCCAAGCTTCAACTCCAGGAAGACCGGGAATAAAGGTCCCCCGGAGCCCAGGAGGTCTGCCTGACGTCCCGCCCGCCTCTGCCTGCAGGCAGCGCCCAAGAAGACCTCATTTGGCTCGCTGAAGGATGAAGACCGAATTTTCACCAACCTGTACGGCCGGCACGAGTGGAGGTAACCCAGCGCCCCGTAGTTGCCCGGCCCTGCGCGCCCCGGCAGGGTGCAGCCTCCCCTTGATGGCCTTCCTGTCCCCCATCCAGGCTCAAGGGGGCCCAGAGTCGGGGCGACTGGTACAAGACCAAGGAGATCCTGCTCAAGGGGCCTGACTGGATCCTGGGCGAGATCAAGACGTCGGGGCTGCGGGGCCGTGGCGGTGCCGGCTTCCCCACGGGCCTCAAGTGGAGCTTCATGAACAAGCCTTCGGACGGCAGGTGCGTGGCGGCTCCCCGGCGTGTCTGGGCTGTTCCGTGGGCTCGAGGAGAGACGGCGACTGCAGAGAGAAAACAGGAGGGTCCACAGGGTGGACCCTCCTCTCCGGGCTAGACGCGGGGCAGGATAAATTCTTTTCCTTTTTTTTTTTTTCTTTTTGGGTCACACCTGACAATGCACAGGGGTTACTCCTGGCTCTGTGCTCAGGAATTACCCCTGGCGGTGCTCAGGGGACCATATGGGATGCTGGGAATCGAACCCAGGTCGGCCGCCTGCAAGGCAAATGCCCTACCCGCTGCGCCATCGCTCCAGCCCAATTCTTTCCCTTTTGCGGGGGCAGTTTAGCCATACCTAGTGGTGTGCAGGGGGCCATATGGGGAGCCAGGCTTGTGCCCTACTTGCTGGGCTTTCTCTCTTGTCCTCAAATCAGTTTTGTTTTTTTGGGGGGGGGCGTGCTCAGGGGTTACTCCTGGCTCTGTGCTCGGGAATTACTCCTGGCAGTGCTCTGGGAACCATGTGGGATGCCAGGACTCAGCCCTGGGTCAGCTGCCCGCAAGGCAAGTGCCTTTCGTGCTGCCGTGGTATTGCTCCAGCCCCCAGTTCTCAACTGTTAACCCCACAGGCCTCTTAGCCCCATAGCCTCACGCTGTGCAGGCATTTGTAAAGACCATTGTGTGTGTGTGTGTGTGTGTGTGTGTGTGTGTGTGTGTGTGTTGGGGTGGGGGTATTGTTAAAGAGACGCCATTAGGGCAGCTGGGCCTGTTGGCTGGCATGTAGAAAGGAAGTGGTAAACTGGTGACTGCTTGGCCTCAGTTGGGCCCAGAGATGTGCTGGCGATTCTGGAAGGTTCTGGAAGATTCTGCTGCCCTTTGCAGCAGGGCCTGAGCCCCTGGGAAGCACATGTGCACAGAGCAGAAAGGGCCTTTGCTGCGCCGCCTCCAGGGGCTCTGGGCGGGCGGGTCTGGCTGTCCAGGGGACACCCTCGGGGCTTCCTGGGCAGAGGGGCTGGCATGTGGCGCCCTGCGGCCTGACCCATTGGCTGGTCCCCGCAGGCCCAAGTACCTGGTGGTGAATGCAGACGAGGGCGAGCCGGGCACCTGCAAGGACCGGGAGATCATGCGCCACGACCCCCACAAGCTGGTGGAGGGCTGCCTGGTGGGGGGCCGGGCCATGGGTGCCCGTGCCGCCTACATCTACATCCGCGGGGAGTTCTACAACGAGGCCTCAAACCTGCAGGTGGGCCGGCGGGAGTGCGGGGTTGGGCCCCCCTGAGCCTCCTTTCTGGGCTCCTCGGTGTATCCTGGAGTCTCACTGGGTTGGCTGGGGAACACCCCCCGGCCTTCCCCATAAGGGCGAGGGGGCTGCATCAGGCTGCGATGTCTGCAGCGAGGTTTGGGGTGGGCATCAGCCGCGCTTCCTTCCGTTCCCCAGACAGCACTGTGGGGGCGTCCCTGGAACAGGCTGCAGGGCTCGGCTCGGGGTCAGTGAGGCCCTGTGGTCCCAGGCCCTCAAGGAACTGGGGGAAGAGGGCATCGCTCCTGGGGGTGCTGAGGGACTGGGCACTGTCCAGGACTGACCGATCTGGGCAGCTGGCAAGACAGACGCTTGACACTGTGGCCCGGGCCGCCTCCGCCCTCTTTAAAGATAACCTGCGGGGGCCGGAGTGATAGTCCAGTGGGGGCAGCATTTGCCTTGCATGTGGCAAACCTGGGTTCGATCCCCGGCTTCCCACGTGGTCTCCCAAGCACCGCCAGGAGTGATTCCTGCGTGCAGAGCCAGGGGTGGCCCTGTCATCTCCAGCGGAGGCAGGAGCCGTGGCACAGTGGCTGGGTGCTTGCCCTGCATGGTACCACCGGGTTCGTGTCAGCCTGTGCAGGGGCCGCCCGGTCTCCTCTGTCGCTCCAGAGAAGCCTCCACTGACTGGGGTTTCATCCCCCACACCCCATATGATGCTCCCTGAGCATTGTGAGGGGTCACTCCTGGGCGGAGCCAGGAATAGTCCCTGAGCACTGCCAGATGTCACCCTCTCCAAATAATATGAAATCCAAGGGTCATTTAAGCCTTGGGGTCAGTGACCTCATGGACAGTTGTTGGGGGGATTTGCTGTGCCCCCTCCCCCCCCAGAGCGTCTCCTGCCTGCAGGACCTCTGTCCTGGCGCCATGCAGCTTCCCGGGCTTGTGCACGCTCAGGGCCAGGTTGTCACCGTCCCCGTCCCGCAGGTGGCCATCCGGGAGGCCTACGACGCCGGCCTCATCGGCCGCAACGCCTGTGACTCGGGCTACGACTTCGACGTGTTCGTGGTGCGCGGGGCAGGCGCCTACATCTGCGGGGAGGAGACGGCGCTCATCGAGTCCATCGAGGGCAAGCAGGGCAAGCCCCGCCTCAAGCCGCCCTTCCCCGCCGACGTGGGTGAGCTGTGCCCCCCAGACCCGGGGAGCAAGGCCAGGCCGGGGCTGGCCGGCTGGGGCGGCTCCCACCAATGTCAGTCCCGGGGCCAGTCCTGGGGTGAAAGGAGGAACCGGAGTGCAGGAGCAGGACCCTCCCGGCACTGCCACCCCCGCAGCGACCCTCTGTCCCCTGTCCCCAGGCGTCTTTGGCTGCCCCACCACTGTGGCCAATGTGGAGACAGTGTCCGTGGCCCCCACCATCTGCCGCCGCGGGGGCGCCTGGTTCGCCAGCTTCGGCCGGGAGCGTAACTCAGGCACCAAGCTGTTCAATATCTCGGGCCACGTCAACCACCCCTGCACGGTGGAGGAGGAGATGTCGGTGCCGCTCAAGGAGCTCATCGAGAAGCATGCGGGTGCGTGGGGGGCGGCGGGGGGACGCGGGTGGGGCTGGCCACTGTCCTGGTCTCAGGACTTGGCAGTAGTCGGCCCAAGCTGACTATCCTATTGGGGTTTGGCCGGGGCCCCAGGCGGTGTCACGGGGGGCTGGGACAACCTCCTGGCTGTGATCCCCGGCGGCTCGTCCACCCCGCTCATCCCCAAGTCCGTGTGCGAGACGGTGCTGATGGACTTCGACTCGCTGGTGCAGGCGCAGACGGGCCTGGGCACGGCCGCGGTCATCGTCATGGACCGCTCGGTGAGACCCTCGCGCCCTGACTAGCCCTCTGGGAGGTGGGGGACGAGGCCCCTGGGCTGGTGAGAGGCGGTCTCCGCGCGCGGGTGACCGGGAGGGTGGCCGCAGCGCCTCTCGTGTGCCCTGCCATGCAGACGGACATTGTGAAGGCCATCGCCCGCCTGATTGAGTTCTACAAGCACGAGAGCTGTGGCCAGTGCACGCCGTGTCGAGAGGGTGAGTGCCTGGCCCTGCCCCAGTCTCCCTCCCCCCCCTCCCCGGATCCCCGAGATGCTCAGGCTTGTTTGTGCCCGCTGCAGGCGTGGACTGGATGAACAAGGTGATGGCCCGCTTCGTGAAGGGCGACGCGCGGCCCGCCGAGATCGACTCCCTGTGGGAGATCAGCAAGCAGATCGAGGGCCACACCATCTGCGCGCTGGGCGATGGGGCCGCCTGGCCCGTGCAGGTACCCCAACGCCACGGCCAGGGCAGGGGCAGGGCGGGGGCAGGGCGGACCCCTTCACGGCGCACCCCTCTCCCCCCTCAGGGCTTGATCCGCCACTTCCGCCCAGAGCTGGAGGAACGGATGCAGCGGTTCGACCAGCAGACGCGGCGAGCTGCGTCCTGAGCCCCTGACCCCCTGGCCAGCCTGGCCTGCCCAGAGGGCAGTGAATAAAGTGCTGTCGCCCACTGTCTCCCGGCGCCTCTCTGCTGCCCACACTCCCGTGGCCGCCTCTTGGCCTTGCTTCCTGCCCTGTTAATCCCGGCCTCTTTCTGGAGCGAGGCCAGGGCCACCCAGGTTGCATGTGCCCAGCACCCGTGGGGTCCATGGGTCTCCTTGGCCATCTCGCACCCCCGGCCATCGGGGACCCGCAGGGAAGGGCGTGGGCATGCCGGGGGCAAGGAAGGCACAAACAGCGTGCTGTGCTCTGCTCTGGCTGCCTTTATTGCTCGGGGACACTGGCCAGGGGCAGGGCTGGGGGGCCGTGGGCGCTGGGTGCCTGTTGCTGAGCGGGAGGGGGCTGGCCGTGGGAGGCACTGGGGGCCAGAGGCACCGGGTGCAGGGCACTGGGGGCCAGAGAGGCTGGGTGCCTGTTCTGGGGGGGGTTAGTCTGGCTGCAAGGGGCACTGGGGTGGGGGGATGGGTGCTAGCGGCTGAGTGGGAGGGGCCAGGTGCTTGTCGCTGGGGGGGGGGTGCCGCTGGGCGCTAGTCGCAGAGCTGGAGGGCTGCCCCGTCCAGCGGGTGCCACAGCTCCAGCCGGCGGTCACTGTGGCCCAGGCACTCGTGCCAGTGCCACTGCCGCTCCCCGCCGGCCTGACCGCTCAGCTGCACCCCACCTGGGAGGGCAGTCAGGGCTCAGGGGGGCCCAGGCGGCCTCTGCCCACCCCTCCTCCCCCTCCCCACTCACCAATGAAGTCGTCGGCCGTCCCCAGGTCATAGTCCCACACGGACACCAGCAGCGCCTTCTGGGCCAGCTCCTCCCTGGGGCCCGCGTAGAAGAACTCCTGGGGTGGGGGATGTGTGTGTGTGTGTGTGTGTGTGTCTTGGCCTCCGCCCTTCAAGCTGCCCCCCCAACCCTCGCCTCCCACCCCCCACCGACCTCGTTGAACTCGGGGTTCAGGGTCTTCTTCCGGACACTGGTCTTGTACTTGGATTTCTTCCCCACGTTTGGGTACAGGAAGCTGGGGGTAGGGGGTCGGGTCAGAGGCCCGTCCGGGCCCCCCACTGACACCAGCGCCCCCCAAGCCCCATCACACTCACAGTCGGACAAACGGGTCAGAGTAGCCGTTGGCATCCATGGGGGCGAGGTGGGCGCAGCGCAGCACCCCCACGAGCAGGCCCCCCCGCCGGGAGCTGTAGCACAGGGACAGCAGGACGCGGCCGCGCTCCTCCCCCGCCTCCGCGTCCACCTGCTGTGGGCCGGCAGGGACGGGCATCAGCTCCCGCCACGGAGCTCAGCTCTGGCCCTCAGCCTCCCGCTAGATGGCCACACGCAGCCGGGGCTGCCTCCTCCCGCGGCTTGGCCAGGGCCACTGCTCGGAGCACCCAGGGCGCGGCCGGCCAGGGCTCTGTTGCCGGAAGTGGCTCCCGGGCCGCCCTCGGCCCTGCCCCTTCCCGGGCCTTGGCGGTCGCAGCTGCAACAGCCTGTGGGCCCACTAGGGGACAGCAGGGGCAGCCGTGCCCCCCGTGCCCAGGCCTCTGTTCCCCGCCCAGACGCTCCTGTCCCCGCGTCCCAGTGTCCCCGAGACCCCCGGGCCCTGCCTGCCCGGCTTGGTGTCGCCCACCTCGTACAGGGCCATGCCCCGGCCGGTGTCCAGGCTCTTGGGCCGCTTGATCTGAAACGGCAGAGGGGCCGCTCAGTGTGGGGCCGCCCCCCACTGCAGAGGAGACACGCCCCTCCCCCCCACCCCCCCCCACCCACCCCCCGGCCCCTCACCAGCCTGCGCTGCTCCAGGCACACGTCGAAGCTCCGGGCACGGTTGGGGACCAGCTTCCTCAGGGGCACGCGCAGCTCCCCCAGGGGGGCCGCCCGCCGACGCCGCCGCAGCCTCGGGTCCTCGCACACGCACAGCCTGGGGGGTCCCGTGGGTCAGGCCCGGCCAGGCCCCCCCACCCCGCACCCCGCACCCCGCCCCGCCCGCCCCGCCGCCTCACCGCAGGGTCTTGCGACCCGCGTCCTGCTGGGTGAAGCCGTGGTAGGTGAGCGTCTCCTCCCAGACGGGGGTCCCCGTGCCCCGCACCGTGCGGGTCCTCAGCTGGCTGGCCTGGAGGGGGCACAGGGGCGTCAGGGCCCCCTCGGGTGCCCCCACTCCCCACCCCACCCCCACAGCAGCGGGAGGAGCGGGTGGCCAAAGTGCTCCCGCCGCTCACCTTGCTGGCCCCTGGGAGCAGGTCAGCTTTGACGTAGGTGTCCAGGGAGCCAGACGCCGGCAGCTTGAGGCCCTGGAGCAGAAGGGGGTGTGAGGGGCTCAGGGTGGGGGGGGGGATGGCACGGGGACCCCGGCCCAGGCCCCGCCTCACCTTGGCCCGGTGCGCCGTGCAGTGGAGGGCGCTGTTGTCGGTGTCCAGCAGGAGGGTGAACTCCAGGGTGCCCAGGGCAGCTGGGGCAGGGCGGGGGCTCAGTGCACTGGGGAGCCGGGACCCTCCCCTCCCCCCGCCACAAGTCCCTGCCCCACTCACTGCTGTCGTCGGAGTCGCCCTCTGGTTCCAGGAGAGGCTGCGGCAGGGACGCGGGGCGGGTGGCACCCACGGTGGGGTGCAGGGGGCGCCCCACGAAGGGGTAGCAGCGCGGGAAGTAGTCGGAGATGAGGCGGATGGGCTGGATGGGGCCCGGGCTCACGTTGATGGCCATGTGCTCCTGCATGCTCACCCGCCGCGCCCCCGAGCCCGCCATGGGCATACAGACCCCCCAAGGGCCTGGGCACAGTGTCAGGGCTGCGGGGCAGGGAGTCGCAGGGCGGCCGAGCCGGGCTGCACACTGCAGCTGGCCAGCACCTCCCGACAGCGACAGCGGGGGCCCGGCCTCCCTTCCCCGCACACTCACCCGGTTATTTCTGTCCCCATCAGGTGGCCCTGCCCCCAGGTGAGGACAAGGGTGTGAGGGAGTGTGAGGGGAGGGGCGGAGGAGTGAGAGGCAGTGGCCTCAGGGGCCCCTCGCTGGCCGGGAGACTGGGGGTCGGCCCTGGTGCTGCCCTGCTGCCTCGGCTCCCCAGAACAGCCCTACGTGGGGTCCTGTTGGCCTGGGACCTGGCCAATCAATCCCCCATCCCTCTCTCCCCGACTTCAGCCTCCCCTGCTTTGTGGCCCAGACTGTCCATCGCTGACCCCCTATTCCAGCCCGTGGGCACAGGTGGCAACGGTGTGTGGCCAGGGCAGAGGAGTCCCCTGTGGGTTACACCGCTGAGGGGCAGCTGCTGTCTGGGCGGGTGCTGCTGTCCCCTCCCTCCTCATCCCTGCACCACCAAGTGAGGCCAGTCCCAGACAAGCACAGCCGAGGCACCCAGAGCCCCTGGGTCCAGCCGTGCCTAAAGCTGGCCCGTTTTTCCAGGCCACAGGGTCCAACGTCAGACCACCCAGTCCCTCCCTCTGTGAGAATGCTCGGCTGACATAACTGATGGATGATCCCACTGTTCTCTGGGATGACTGGTGCCACCACTGAAGGCCCCCCACCCAGCATCTGGCTGGTATGCAGATGTGGCCCCAGCACGGAGTGTGGGTGGCATCAGCTTTGTGGTAACGTGGGCAGGGCCCAGAGGTGGGACCAGGAAGTCCCCGGCTCAGTAACCATCGAGGCTGGTTCAGATGCTAAGTGGGGTGCCCCTGGGTCTCCGCGACCCCCCAGCCAGGGTCAGAGTCGGCCCCAAGTCCCGGGGCAGGGCAGGGAGCCACTGGCCTCCAACGGGTACCCTTGCTCAGGGCCGCAGCGCAGAAGACGAGACTGTCTTGGAATGGCTACAAGCTCTTTATTCAGCCCGGAGTGATCAGTCAAATGCAGTCAGATGGGGTAGGGGCGCGAGCTACTTCTCGCGGGACCCCGTGTCCCGGGGCTGCTGGGAGCTGGCCAGGCGTGGCCGGTAGGCGTCAGGGGCCAGCAGCTGCAGGGTGTACTCTGTGATGATGGCCGTGAGCCCCCAGACACGGTGTGGGCCGTGCAGGAACACGGGCAGCGTGTAGCTGAAGCGCCCCTCCTTGCAGAAGTGGGTGTAGCCCTGGTTCTCCGCCTGCAGCAGGTGCGTCAGCGGCAGGACAAACACCTCGTCTACCTGGGGGCAGGCGGCCGTGAGCGGGTGGGCAGGTGCCGCCCCCGGGTGGACAGCCAACTCCCACCTACGCTGCTCACCTCGGCATGGTTGGGCTTGAGGCTCTGGAGGTCCAGGGGCCCGACGCCAGCGAGCACTGGTACCACTGCGGCCTTTTTCTGGGAGGGAGGAGGGCAGGGGCTCAGGGGCGCAGCCTGCCTCCACCTGCCGTGCACTAGACTCAGGCCTCAGGGTTTGGGTAGGCTGGCCAGCCCTTTCTTCCCCACAGCCCCCTTGCCCACCCTAATCCTCCTTGACCCTCAAGGAGGCCCATTCCATGCAGACCCGAGCCTCAGTTTCCCCAGGGAAGTACATAAAGGATGCCCGGCTCCTCCCCCACGGACTGGGGGGTTGGAGGGGCCGCCAGGGGTGGTGTCTAACACTGTTCCCCTCCCGCCTCCCCTCCAGTGGGGTCCAGGGCCCTGCCCAGGGGGGGCAGAGTGGGGAGGTGGTAAGGACCGACAAGGGTCCCCCCACGGCTGTGGGGGCTCACCGGGTCGTGCACAGGCCGCAGGGTGCCCCACACGTGCTCCTCGGGCACGACCAGGCCCAGCTCCTCGCGGGTCTCCCTCAGAGCCGTTTCTATCACATCCTGGTCGGTGGGGTCACACTTGCCACCTGGGAAACTGGACAGGTACAGGGAGTCTGGCCGCGCAGGTGGCCGGCCGCGCCCCTGCTCCGAGTGTGCGGGGAGCCAGCCCCGGAACCCCCCGCGGCGCGGTCACCTCCCGGGCAATGCCAGGAGGGGCTCCACGGCTCTTGGGGGCCACTTGGGGCCACTGGGGGGCCAGGCGGCCCCGCCCCGCCCCGCCCCGCGCCCTTCCTGAGTCGGGGCAGTGTCCCATTCTGGCCGCCAGGGGGCGGGGTCCTGCCCCGGACACGCTCCGCGAGCCCGGGCCGTCCGAGGTGGTGCCCGGGGACCCGCGCGCCCCCCTGCTCCGTGGCAGCGAGCCCCGCGGCGCGCAGAAGGGGGGTCCCGGCTCGGGTACCTGACGTCCCCCCTGTGCTTCCCGGACAGGCGGCTGGACCGCAGCGTGTAGAGCAGCGCCGGGACCCCGCTCACTAAGCACAGCGGCACGAGCACCGCGGCCGCCGCCGGTCGGCAGCGGAGCCGGGCCGTGGCCTCCGCCAGCAGCCGCCGACAGCGCTGCTCGCTGTCCGCCGACAGGCAGTCGGGCAGCATGTCGGTGCGGCCGCGCGGGGACACCGGGGGCGCGGGCGGCGCTCCGGCTCCCGGACACCGGGCCTGGGCGGGCCCAGGAGGAGCCCCGCCCCACTCCGCGGTCCTCATTGGCTGCGCCGCGGCGCCGGGGGCGGGTCCAGCCCGGTGGGCCGGGCCTTGGGGCGGGGGCGTGTCTGTGGGCGGGGCCTACGGGAATGGCTCCTCCTTCCAGGGGTCGGGGCGGGACCGGAAGAAGCGGGATCCAGGGCTTGGATTTCCGGCGGAGAGGCCGGTCCGGGTTGGGGCGGGGCTAGGGCTGTGGGTCACGGTGTTAAATGTCCCTGCGTGACCTCTGGGGCCGGGAGCGTGAGTATTTGTGACCGCCCCGCCGACCCCAAGTCCCGGCGCTCCCGCGTTGTCCGTTCCTTTCTTAGGAACCTCATAGAAAGTTCTCTGGATGTCAGCGATGGCGTTAAGGGAGTGCACGGAGCGCCACTGATCAGATCGCTCCCCTAACCCTCCTTGACCCCGAGGTCACTGCCTGCCCGGGTTCTGCACCCCTCAGTCAGCAGCCCGGGCCGTGCACACGGCGTCTAAGCCCGCGGGGAGCCTCCCTCGGAGCAGATTTATCTCCCGTCCCCTTCCCCTCCCGGGCTCTGCGACCTCACTGGGCAGTGCTTGGCTGGAGTCACCACCTCCCAGGGGCCCCAACCCAGGCCCGGGCACAGGAAACACGCTCAGGGTCCAGTGCCAAAGGCTTTAATGTTGCGGGCGGAGCGGGAAGGCCAGGGAAGCAGGCAGGCGGGAGGCTGGTCCCAGCGCTGGAGTTTGGAGCGCTGACCTGCCGGCTCTGGGTGGGAGGGGACAGGCCCCTGCAGAGGAGGGCCTAGAGGGGTGGGTCCAGGGTAAAGGGACGCTGTCCACAAGTCTCCACCCTTATCTGAGGGTCCTGGCCAGGCCCCCCCGGAGACAGGAGCCTCAGCCCAGCTGCGACGGGCAGACCCGTCTGCTCCCCATCAGCCTGCATACTGGGAAGAGGGTATGGTGTCCGGCGGGCCCTGGGGACCCCCAGAGGGCTTGAGACCCCAGGATACAGGCCCTGGTATGTGAGTGGCCGGTAGGTGGCCGGGGTCAGCAGTGTCTCGGGCGGGGTCAGCAGTTGGTGGTGAAGCCGGACTGCCGTCCTGGAGGTGGGGGCTGGAGCTCTGCTGGGTTCTGAGGGAGGAAGTAACCTGAGTTCAAACTGCTCCTTCACACACTCAGTCTCCATCAGTGCCCGCCCCGGAGTGCCCCCCACCCTTATCCAATTCTTGCCTCTGCCTGGATTTCTTCCCCCCATTCCCCCTGTCCTCTAAGACCCAGCTCAGGAACCACCTCCTCCAGGGAGCCCGCCGACCTTGCTACCCTGTTCTCAGCCCCTTGTCTCTGCTCAGCCCTCTGCTGTGGGCCCCACGTTATCTTGAAACTTCAGCCTCCCACCCTGACCACACAGGTGTTGCCTTGCTGCCTGCCCACCTCCCAGGTTCTGGCCTCAGTGCCTGGGGTGGGTCTAGGGTTGGGGGGGGTCTAACCTCTCCTCTGCTCTGTGGAGCCCTTCAGAAGGCAGGGGCTGAGGCTGCTGCGACTCCGGGCTGGGGCGCCAAGCAGTGGCCGTGGAGCAACTGTCCTGGAGATGGGACAAAGGGGAGAGAACAGGGTCACAGCCAGCGTCAGACAGTGGGGCTCCAGGACAAGTCTGTGGGCGTGTCCAAAAGAAGGTCTCCAGGCAAAGCCCTAGGAGCTGCCTGGGTTGAGGGTGAGAATCGCAGTTCCCCGGACCATACCAGGAATCAGAGTCACTCTCTCGGAAGCCCTTGGCAAAAGGATTGCTGGCGATTTTCAGCTGGGTGATCTGCAGAAGAGACAGTACCATTATGGGCCAGCGCTGTGGGGGCTCAGCCCCGCACCCCCGCTCACCACCCGTCCCTTCAGAGGCGCCGGGAGCCCTTGGGCAATGGTTTTCTGTCTGTGTATGGCCACACCTGGCGGTGCTCAGAGGTTCACTCCTGGCTCTGCACCCAGGAATTACTGTTGGCGGCGCTTGGGGGACCATATGGGGTGCTGGGGTGCAGTGCGCTACCCGCTCGGTTACCCGGCACTGCGTTTGTGCGGATGCCCACTCCCTGCTGCCGGGCCGGGACTCTCCTCCCCGCTCCACCCACCCGGTGGTTCTGATAGGCCGTCACCGCCGTGAACTGCGTCTCCGTGAAGACGAAGGACTTGAAGTTCTCCTGGGCGTAGCGCTCGCTGTCCTTGCGCGGGTCCACGAACACCACGTGGAGGCGGGGCTGGTAGCGGTGCATGGAGTTGAGAATGATCTGGGGGTGCACAAGGGGTGTGCAGGTGGGCGGGGCCGCCGTTTGTTTGGGGGCCACACCTGTCGATGCCCAGGGGTTACTCCTGGTTCTGTACACCAGAATTACTCCTGGCATGTTCAGGAGACCATGTGGGATGCTGGGGATCGAACCTGGGTTGGCCATGTACAAGGCAAGCTCCTTACCCTAAGTACCATCTGTTCAGCCGGGGCTAATGCCTTTTTCACGGGCCCATGACCCCCCTTTCTGGTAACAGGGGAACTCTGATGTGAGCGTCTGCAGGTGGAGGCCATGGGCCCCCTGGTGTCCAGGCCCTAATTTTGCTGTTTAGGCCACAACCTAAGGGCTTACTCCAAGCAGCCTCAGGTGACCATCTGTGTGCGGGGATCAGACCCGGGTCACCAGTGTGCAGGGCACGCGCCCTACTTGCTGAACCTAGTGTCCAGGCTCTCTTTCCTTCTCGCAGTGACAGCTGGACCTGCAGAGCCAGAATCTGACCACCCTGCCGGTCATCATCTTCTCTCCTGAGGATTCCCCGTGTCTCCAGCTCCTCTGGTCATTCCCATGCTGCCCCTTTGAGCCATCTCAGAGCAGTGTTTGCCAGAATATCTCTACACCCCCGGCCCACCGCCCATCTTCCTGGACAGTCCCCTCCTGGCCCACCTGCCAGTCAGGGGAACTCAGCCCCCAGCCTAACCTTCAGTAGCGGGCTGAGGGCACTGAGACCACCTGCAAGGGCTGCAGAGGGCCGATATAGTAAGGCCCGCCCTACGCCCCGCCTCCACGATCCTAAACCCCGCCTCCAAACGTGGCCCCGCCCCCACAGCGCTCAGGGTCCTCGACTCCACCCCAGAAGCACCGCCTCGACCCGCCCCCTGGAACTGATTCCCGCCCAATAGGGCCTGCCCCAGGCCCCGCCCCGGAAGCACCTCCTCGACCCGCCCCTGAAACAGTCCCTCCCAATAGGTCCCACCCCAGAAGCACCGCCTTGACCCGCCCCCGGGAACCAATTCCGTCCCAATAGGGCCCGCCCTAGGCCCCGCCCCCAAAGCACCGCCTTTATCCGCCCCCAAACAGCCCTGCCCAATAGGGAACGCCCCGACCATAGGCTCCGCCCCCCCAAAGCCCCGCTCCGCTGCCTGGGCCTCACGTGGCCGTTGTCGTCCAGCAGGTTGTTGGTGAGCTTCAGCTTGTCGAAGGACACCATCTGGCGCATCCACTGGGCGCCCTTGGCGGGCGAGTCGGGGTGGAAGTGCACGCGGCCGGGCGTGGCTGGGTCGGCCTTGCCCGCCACCAGCCAGGCGGAGCTGTGGAAGGCGTACCTGGGAAGGAAGCAGAGCCCCACGGGGAGGGCGCCCGTTGGCACCCCGCGCTCACTCCTAGACTGCCCCAGAGAGCATCACTGCCTCGGCGCTGGCGCAGGGCTCCTGAGGGGCAGCGCCTCTCTCCCGTCTGCACCATCCTGTGCGGCGGACTGCCCTCTGCCTGCCCAGCAGCCCTCCGGGCTTCGCCCTGCCGCCCCAGGCTTCCCCTGGCCTCCCCCAGCGCAGGCCCAGCTACTCCCGGCCCCCCCCACCTGTATCTCTTGTCGTCCAGGGGCACGAAGTCCATGAGCAGCGCATAATCGGCCAGCGCATCCATGCCCAGGATCTTCACCTGGAAGGCAGGGAACATCCTCCTGCACAGGAGGGGGAGGGCACTCAGCAGCCAAGGCCAGCACGACCCCCTGTGTCACGTGACACACACACAGTGTCACACACGAAGGCACATACTTCCCAACATGGACACTCAGAGACACACACCGACTCAGGCATACAATGGCACACACACTCGTGGGCCCTCACAGACAAGCATACATGTGCGTATGCACACATACACATATGCACACACATAAACACACACATGACTACACATCACATGCACACACGTGCACATACGAATGCAATGCACATGCACATGAACTCATGCACACACACATGCATACACACACACACACATGAACACACATCACATGCACACACACGCTCCTGCACTGCTCATACCTGCCCGCCTTGGTGACAATCATCTCCGTGCCCAGCTGGTTGAATTCCTCCCACAGAGCCTTCATCTCCAGCTGCACCGTCACATTGGACACATGTGGGTTCTTGGGGCCTTGCCCCATGGGGTCGGCCATGGCATGGGTCCCTGCAGAGTCCCTGGCGGGGGGCAAGGGGTACGGCAAACCCCGCAGGGCCTCACAGCTGGAGCTGGTGGCAGGCAGGGGGTAGGTGTCAGAGGGCGCAAATACCCCCAGGCTGGCAGAGAGAAAGGCTGGGGAGAGAGGAAGGAGGTGTGAGCACCTCACCCCCCCTCCCATGACCCAGAAACGCTTCGCCTGGAAGCTGCATGGCGGTCCTCTTCCTCCAGGAAGCTCTCCTTGACTACCAGGCCAGTCCTCCCTCACTTCCTTAACTCCACATCCCTGAGCGAAGTAAACGCACCCTGAACATCTTTCCTAGCAGAGTCCCAGAGGCCACCGGCTGCCCCTCCTCCTCCCCCTCCCCTAGGGTGTTCTGCAGATTGTGTGCACTCTGGGCCCAGCTTCCCGTTCTTCACCCGGGCCTCAGTGGGTCCCTGTGAGGATGAGGACACGGCAGGATCAGCCTGCGGCACGGCTGAGCGGGCGGTGGTACAGGTGAGGTGGGGCCTTGCTTGGGGGGCCACTGTCCTGCGCTGCCTCAGGGCTGCTGAGCAGAGCGAGGACCCCACCCGCCCTGCTCTGTTCTGCGGTCTGGGGTCCTGAGCCCCCCGACGTCGGCTCAGCCTCCTCCCGAGCACGCCTCCTCCCCCTCTGAGGAAGAGATTCTCCCGATCCAGCCGCCAGGGGCTAGTGTCCAGCCAAACCAGGCACTGAACGGCCCGCGGAGCCCTCAGGGACCGCGTGGGGTCAGAGATGGAGCAGGGGACGCAGGCGTCCCCCCACGGTTCCGGAGTGTGCTGAGGCGGTGGGGGGGCTCCGGGCTGGCGCCGTCCCCATCGCGACCTCCCCAAGAGATGAACCAGTGCTCATGGACGGGGGCAGCAGATGTGCCCACCCCTGCAGCAGGGGCTGCAGCAGAGGTCGGGGTGCCTGGCAGCGTGCGGGGCGCAGAGGAAACCAACGCACCCCCAGAGGCAGGAGCGTGGGCGCGGGAGGGGCTTGCTGGGGCTTGCTGGGCAGGACGGAATGTTCTGGACCGATGGGGAGAGCGTTCGCCCAACCATGTAAGTGTCCCGGACTCCTCCGAACCAGCCCTCGTACGCGGCTGCCTGCCACAGCCCCCCAGATACGGGCCAGCTGACCCCAGCCCTCCCCGCGCCTGTGAAACAAAGGGGCTTCCTGGCAACTTTCTTTTTCTGTAGTTTCTCCCGTGGAAATTTGGCTTTTTAAAAACTGTTTTGGTTTGGTTCGGGGCCACACCCAGTGCTGCTCTGCGCTCAGGGGTCACTCCTGGCAGGGCTCAGGGAACCCGAGGGGGTGCCGGGGGTCGAACCCGGGTCAGCCACATAAAAGTCAAGCGTCTTTCCCACCGTACAATCTCTCGGCCCCCAGTGAAAAATTTCTAAGTGGAAAAGAAAGTCCTGAAATGAGATGGTGATTTTCTGGTGAGTTTCTGTCAGCCACAGTGCGGGGGGGGGGGGGGGGGGGAGACCCCCCGCAGGGCTTTGGTTTTGGGTCCAGACAGACCGATGGGCAGGACGCTGGGGGCGTCACAGAGGGGGCGAGCCGTCAGAGCTGGTGCATGGGGGGTCACGGTGCCGGCCCATCCTGGGCACTGAGACCTACCCCCGGTCCACCTGACAACCACCCGCAGCTCTGGAAGGAGCTCAGGGGAGGGGACAGACCCAAGGTCACTCGCGCTGGCCAGACCGTCTCCTCCCCAAGCCACCATCTCCCCACTGGCCAGCACCCCCCTATTTGCATCCGGAGTCACCAGCCCCTCAGCCTTATCCTGGTGGGACCTGACCCTGGCCGGTGCCCACCCGACTCCCCAGCCCGAAGCCTGGCTCCCCTGGGGCTCCCTTCACCCCCGGCCAGGTCCTGCCGTCCCCGCCGCGACGTACCTGCCATGAACACCAGCTTGGGCGCCCTCAGCACGGACACCAGCACCCCACTTGGGGGCACGCCCCGCCTCTCTCCCGCCGTCCGGGTGCGGTCAGTTCTTCCCCAGCGCGGGGTCCGGCCTGCGTGCAGCCCCTTCCCCAAGCCCCTCAGACTGGCCAGCCGAGGCAGGCGCGGGCTGGCAGCCCGGGCGGGGCGGACGCTCTGACGTTGGCAGCTGCCGCCCTCCCCGCCCCCTCCCCAGAGCCCCCAGCCGCTCCGATCAATGGACTGGTCAGGGCAGGACTGGGGGTCCACAGGGGCCACGGCCGGCCTGACCGGAAGGCCTGAGGCAGGTGGGACAGTGAATGCAGAGGGGAGCCCCCAACTGGGGGTCAGGCGCGGCTCGGGGCCACGGTCCCCAGCCTGGCAGAGGCAGGGACCCCCGTGGTAGAGGGGGTCAGGCCCTGCTGGGCGTGACACAGTCAAGCAGGTCCCTCCTGGACCCTGGGCCTCAGTTTCCCCGACTGAGCAAAGCAGATTATAGGAGCTCAGCTCGGGGGGCGGGCTGGTTGTGCGGATGTCTCGGAGCAGGGTCTGTGGCTGCTGTCCCCGCCTGTCCTGGCCAGTCACTCACGGACACGGGTCATTGGAATTGGAGGGGGTCCCAGTGGAGAGGGCAATTTGGCCCTGGACCGGGCGGGCGTCTGGCTGGAACTCCCGTGGCTCACTCTGGGAGGAGGAACCCCGGATGCCCCAGGTCAGAGGTCAGAGTTCGTGGGAACATCATGCCCTGCCGTTGGGAGTGTGGTGGGTAAGAGAGGCCCATGCCTGGCAAGGGCAGAGAGGGCACAGCCCGCCCCCAATGCCCAGCACCCCGGCTCTACGGTTGGGCCTGTAGAGATGAGAGTGTCCCCAGGCTGCCCCTCCCGGTCCCTGAGGGTTGTGGGGGTGGGGGTGGGGGTGAGGGTGGCGGTGGGTGAGAGGCTGGGGGTTTGGGCAGTGTCTGAGCGTGTGTGCCCGATAAACCTCTGGGCTGCCCGTACACAAGTGCGGCTTTGTGTGTGTAGACATGGGCTCACACATGGTCATAGATGGATACACAGCTCCACGCAGGCATTCACACGCACATGGAGTAGCTGACCACACCTGGACGGCGGGAGGGAGGCAGGGCGTGCCCCATAGTGGGGTGCTGGTGTCCGTGCCGAGGGCGCCAGAGCCGGTGTCCATGGCAGGTATCTCGCGGCGAGGACCTGGCCAGGGTGAAGGGAGCCCCAGGGGAGCCAGGCTCTGGGCTGGGGAGTGGGGTGGGCACCGGCCAGGGCCAGGTCCCGCCAGGACAAGGCTGAGAGGCTGGTGACCCTGGATGCAAATACGAGGGTGCTGACCAAGGGGGAGATGGTGGCTTGGGGAGGAGAAGGTCTGGCCAGCAGCACACGGTCACAGGCACACACAGCCTCACACACACACAGGCTCACACACGGTCACCGACACACAAGCTCACATGCGCACATGGTCACAGGCACACAGAGCATCACACACACACAGGCTCGCACAGGGTCGCGTGTGCACACGCTCACACACATGCACACAGGCTCACTGCTCACACACGTGCACACACACACTGTGACACTCACACAGCCCCGCAGCTGCCCTTCCTGCCGCGGGCGCTGGCCCTGCCTCATCCATCTTCCCTGCCAGCCTGTCCCCGGCGCCCGCATCCTTCACACCTTCTCATCTCGGCGCTCAATAGCGAGAAGCTGCTGGCAGCCGTGGCCGCGGGGAGACGGATGGGTGGGGGCGGGAAACGCCTGCTCCCTAACTAGACCCCCCACACCGGGCCCCTGGGCCGCAGCCTCTCCCGCCCCGCTCCTGGAGGGAGAGCCGTGCTAAACGCACCCCCTCCGCACCCCCACATCACACACCTAGAGAAGCACGTTTGAGTTGACCCCCCCCCAGAAGAGCCCAGAGCTCCCTAACGGCCCAGAGACCCTGGAGCAGCGAGGGGAGGGTCCACCCAGACCTGCACCCCTGAACAACGCAGGTGTCCTGCTCGGCCTCCACATAGAGCCCCCAGACTCACAGATGCCTGGGCTGGCCCCGGCCCAGACACCCCACAGGACACAGCCACCCGCTTCTCGCTTCTCTCCCAGCTGGGTCAGCCCCTCGATATGGGGGCCCCTCCCAGAAGCCCCACACTGGCCCCTGCGGTCTCCCTCACCCCCCCAGGCTCCTCACACTGTGGGGTTCTCCTGAGGCACCAGCACCCACAGACATGGCCAGCACCCGTCACTAGACACACAGCAAGTCTGAGGCCTCACGGGCAGACCTACCCCGCACCGCCCCCAACCAGCACTCTCCAGCGTTTATGACAGGCAGGAGGCAGGGTGTGAGGGTGGTCAGGGCTGGTGATGGGCCTCAGGGCCATGAGCTGCCCCATCCTGATGACGGCGATGCCCCCGCAGGCTCCTCATAGTGCTCCCTCCCCCAGTTGAACCTCTGGAAAAGGGGGGCACCAGGCTCTGTCCTGGAAGGAGCAACCAGGGCCAACACTGCTAGGACTGGCCTCTGCCCGGCACTGCCCAGGAATGCCCACCAGCTCCAGGCCTAGACATGGAGGTGCCCATGGCTAGAAAGGCAAGTGTCAGCTCGGAAAGGGTCCGCAGTGGTGACAGGCACCGAGAGCGAGGCCTGAGTTTGAATTCTCACTAGCTGTGCAACCTCGAGCAAGTGGCTTAACTTCTCTGTTCCTCAGCTTCCTTAGCTGTAAACCAGGGACAAACAAATCTCTGCCTGTCGGGGCCAGAGTGATAGTACAGTGAGGAGGGCACTTGCCTTGTATGCTGTCAACCTGGGGACAATCCCCGGCACCCCATATGGTCCCCTGAGCACCACCTGGAGTGATTCCTGAGCGCAGAACCAGGATTAACCCCTGAGTATCACTGGGTGTGTCCCAAAACAAGCAAACCCCCAAACTCTGCTTGTGTCATCCGGTTTTTGAGAGAGGCCACACTGGGTGGTGCTCAGGATATACTCCTGACTCTGGGTTCGGGAATCATTCCTGGTGGGCTTGGGGGACCATGTGGGATGCCGGGGATGAAACCCAGGTCAGCTGCCTGCAAGGCAAGCACCCTCCCCGCTGTACTATCACTTGGTCCCTCATCCGAGGTTTAAATAAAATTAATTGTATCACTGTCATCCTGTTGTTCATCGGTTTCCTCGAGCAGGCACCAGTAACGTCTCCATTCGTCCTAGCCCTGAGATTTTAGCAAGTGCCACACTGGAGGCTCTTTTAGGGTTAGGGGACTGAGACCCATCATTGATACTGGGTTTTGGCATATCAAATACGCCACGGGGATATATATAATAATCACTTAATCACTTAATTTCCCGTTAGTCGTCGATTTGCTCGAGCGGGCGCCAGTAACGTCTCCATTTGTCCCTGTCGCGTGCTAGTGTAGCCCAATGGCATCTGTTCGCTCCGGGAACATGAAGGGCCTCAAACTGATCGTTCATGAAGAAGTCTGACCATCTGGTAGGTGGGCGGCCACGCGGTCTTTTGACATCCCGTGGAATCCAGTCGGTAACAGCTCTAGTCCAGCGGTCATCTTTAAATCTCATTACGTGATCAGCCCATCTGATTTTCGACACCTTGGCAAATGAGACAGCATCCCTGATCCTTGATCGTCGACGGATGTCAGAACTCCGGATTCGTTCTCTCATTTGAGTGAAACGTGATATTCCAATATATAATAATATATATATATTTTTTCCTTTTGCTTTTTTTGGTTATATGTGGGGCTGGAGTGATAGCACAGCGGGTAGAGCATTTGCCTTGCATGTGGCCGACACGGCCAACCCAATTTCGATTCCTCTGCCCCTCTTGGAGAGTCAGGCAAGCTACTGAGAGTATCTCGCCCGCACAGCAGAGCCTGGCAAGCTACCCGTGACGTATTCGATATGCCAAACACAGTAGCAAGTCTCACAATGTTACTGGGCCTGCTTGAGCAAATCGATGAACAACGGGAGGACAGTGACAGTGACAGTGCTTTTTGGGTCACACCCGCCAATGCTCAGGGTTTATTCCTGGCTCTGTCTCAGGAAATACTCTTGGCGGTGCTTAGGGGACTATAATGAGAAGCTGGGGGGTCGAACCCGGGTTGGCCTCATGCAAGGCAAATGCCCTACCTGCTGTACTATCGCTCCAGCCCCCCAATTGATAATATATAGTCTCTGTATTAAAAAAAAAAACAGTCTCTGGCACATACCAAACACAACAGACTCTCAGCATTAGAAAAATTGGGTTCAAACCCTGGCATCACAAAAAAAATTGAAAAAATAAGAGGACAGGAGAGATAGTTCAGTGGGGAGGGCACTGGCCTTGCATGTGTCCAAGCCCAGTTTGCTACTGGGCATCCCATATGGTCCCCAGAGCACCTCCAGGGCACCTCCAGGAGCAATCGCACCATGGGTGTGGCCTGAATTTAGAAGGAAATAAGGAGGGAAGCCACTCTTGCAGCATTGCAAAAGCTGGCAGGGGGGTGGCGGCCCACCTGAGTTTGGGACACCCTCCTCACATGGAAGGGTTTTTTTTTTTTGCCTTTTTCCGGTCACACCCGGCAATATACAGGGGTTCCTTCTGGCTCATGCATTTAGGAATTATTCCTGGTGGTGCTCGGGGGACCCTATGGGATGCTGGGAATCGAACCCGGGTTGGCTGCATGCAAGGCAAACGCCCTACCCTCTGTGGTATTGCTCCAGCCCCCATCCCGTGGAAGGTTTCTGGCTGGTCTCCTGGCTCCTGGCAGTTCTGAGGGTGAGACAGGGGAAGAGTGATGTCGACAGAGCAGGTGGGCCCCTCTGAAGCCCCTCCCCCTCTGAAGGTCAGTGGGGGGGGGGCTTGGGGCAGGGGTGTCCACAGTGTCCTTACAGGGCCAGAGCGCTGTCCAGAACAGAAACCAGAAGGCCGGAGCCCGTGCAACGGCGCCCCCCTGTGGCGGCCAGCGGAGGGCGGCTGGCTGGAGGGATGCGCCCCTTGGTCCAGTGAATGCTGGAGTCCTCTTCCCGGAATCAGGGCTTGGGTCTCCTTCCTGCTCTCCTTCCCCTCGTGTCTGGGGTGGGGGAGGCGTGTCCAGGCTTTGAGGGGGCTAGGGCCATCGCCGCTGTGGCTGGGGGGCAGGTTCTGCAGCTGGGAGTGAGGGGAAACTGAGGCTGCTTGGGGGTGAGCAGGGAGGAAGCTTCGAGAACCGAGGGCAGGGGCTCCCCAGGGGCACCCTCTGACGCTTTCGGCCTGCAGGAGGGAGTCGCAGGCCCAGCAGCTGGTCACCGGCCGGGCCCTGGTGCTGCAGGGGCAGAGGTGGGAGTCCCTCAGGAGTCACTGGTCCTCAGGAGTGGGCCTGCCCGGCTGCCCACTCGCCAGCCTGCTCCTCACGCTCCCTCCAGCCTCGCTCGCAAGCCCCGTGTTACTCCCCCCTTCATATTCGCCTGCTTTTATGGGGCAGTGGGGAGGCCCTGAGAGGGGCAGCCTCGAACTCACCTTGGGGTTCGCTCCCCCTGGCCTTGGCTAGACTGAAACACAGCCTCCTCCTAGAAGCCCACCCTGACTGCTCTTGGCCAGGTTTGATGCTTGGTGGAGCCTCTCCTACCCGCATTCAATCCCCTCGTCTGGGGCTGTGGTCTTCTTCCTTTGCCTCCCCCAGTAGATGAAGGGGAACACCTGGGTCTTGTCATTCTCTCACCTGAGCTGACCAGAGTCTGGCTTGGACAGCTGGGGGCCGGGGGGGGCGGGGCAAAGACCAGAGAATACAGCCTGTGGGGCTGACCACAAGCAAATCTGGGCAACCCTGAGGAGGTCCTAACCCAGGCTGAGATCAGGAGGAGCTTCCTGGAGGAGGTGATACAGTGGAGGCGGGGTCGACTAGTGGGTAGGACCCCCCTCTCTCCCTTCCCTTCCTTCCTTCTTTCCTTCCTTCCTTCCTCCCTACCTCTCTCCCTTCCTTCCTTCCTTCCTCCCTCCCTCCTTTTCTTCCTTCCTTCCTTCTTTCTCTTCCTCCCTCCCTTCCTTCCTCTCTCTCCCTACCTTTCATTCATTCTTTTTTTTCTCTCTCTCCTCCCTTCCTCTTCCCTCTTTCTCTTGTCTGTCCTCTCCCTCTCTTCCTCTCTCAGGTCACAGCCGACAGTGCTCAGGGGTCTCTCCCGGTGGCTGGGCAACCACATGGAGTGTGGGGATGGAGCCCCCATACCTGTGTGTTCTGTCCTGCCCGGCCCACCCACCTTCCTGCAAACCCCGCAGCTGGCTTTGGGTGGGGGGAGGAGGCAGCACCGCTAAGGCTCCCACTTTTGAGCGCAAGGGGGTGTGGTATAAAACTGCATTTTACAGACGGGGGTCCCCAGAGCAAACTGAGCAGGGAGAACCCCCCCCCCGCTGGCTGCATGTCCGGGTAGCCGGCCCCTTCCTGCTGCCCCCCTCACCCTCTGAGCGTCTCAGGGTTCCCTCCTTCCCTCCTGGGCCCGCGACCAGTGATGGGCTCATGGACCTGTGACAGGAAGTGATCACACTGAGTTGACCAAGGCCGGGGGCGGAGACACAGCTGAGGCTGTGCCAGAGGCCTGGGGTGCTGTGCTCCCCCTTAGGACCACTGCACCCCTGCTAGCCATGTCCAGCTCTGCTGCCAGCCTTCGCTCGCCCTCTGCCCAGAGGGGTGGCAGAAGTCTTGGGGGGTCTCCTTCTAGAGAGAGACTGGCGGTTCGCCACCAGTCTGCTGTGTGGTCCTTACTCTGGGCACGGGTCAATGCCAGTGTTGCACTAAGGCACAGCTCAGAGGCCACCAGCTGGCCAGTGTCCCCTGCTTCATCCCCCCCCATCTCTCCCTCACGGCAACGACCCTGTGGCCCCCAGCTGGTCAGCATCTCCTGCTTCCTCCCTCAAACTTGGGTTGTGCCTTTTGGCTCTCCAGGAAGCCCCAGGTAACCCATAGAGACTTTTGGTTGTATCCCGAACACAGCAGGGCAGCCCTGTGGCTCCCCGCTCTGGCCAAAGGGACCCTCAGATCCATTTCAGAGATGCAGAGACTGAGGCTCGGGCAAAGGGTTCAAGGGCACATGGGGACTGAGGGGGGGCTGGAGTAAGGGGCTGCCCTACTGCTCTCTGGGGCTGAGTGGAGGGGGCAGAGGGGAAGGGGCAGGACAGGTTCACGTCAGAGGGGATCCCCCAAGTGTGCCAGGCCCTGCTCAGAGACTCGCAGCCCCGGGGGGCCTTGGATTTCCCTTCCAGTGCTCCTTCTCCAGTGCACCTGGGCTCCACCTGTCAGCGGGGACCCAGTGTGGCAGAATGGCACTGGGCCATCTGTTACGGACCCAGTCAGCTCCCGACAGGCCCTGGAACCCGGGGCCTGGGTCTGGGGACCCCACGTCTGAGTCAGAGCTGCTGACCGTGGCCTAGAGCCCACGCCCCACCCAGGTCTGGGCAGAGGGCACAGCCCTTAGGGCGCAATGACCAGCCCCCATAGCATGGCGGGGGCACCCCAGCACTCCCAGCCCTGAAGATCCACCACCGATTGAGGATGGCCGCGGGCCCTCGAACACTGCTGGGGACCCCCGCGCCCAGTGTCAGCCGCGCCTCGGCCAGGGGAGATCCCCTCACTGCTGCAGACTGTGGGGCGGGGACTGGACTCTGCTGACCCGGTTATTTTGGGGGTTTCTGGGGCCAGCACACTTCCTGCCCGGAGGTTCTGGGCCCCTGACCCCACAAATGCCGCACAGCAGGGAGGCCTGGGATGTTTCACTTCCTCTGCCAGGACTCCACTTCCTGTTTCTGGGCTGTCTGCAGAGTGGAAGGGGGTCTGGGAGCCAGGCTGGAACCCCCGGTGCCGACGGAACATGAGCGTGTGTGTGCCTGTGTCAGAATTGTGGGCACGCAAGTCCATGACCAGAGTGAGGACAGTCTGGGGGTCACTTTGCTGAGTGGAGGAAGTTGAAAGGCCCCAGGTCACCTTGGGTTGCTGCGTGATGTGGGGACAGTGAATGCCCTCTCTGGTCCCCGGCTCCTGCCCAGGAATTCGGGGAAGGCTCCTGCATGGCCCCAGTGGCTTTTGGAGAGGAGCAGGGAGCAGAGCCCGCCCAGCTGGTGACAGAGGGCAGGGGAATCCTGGGGACACAGCCACTGGAGTCGGGGAAACTGGACCCAGAACGGGGTCCGACAACCCAGAGTCATAAAGCAACATGGCCCGGAAGAGGCACATCAGCTAAGTTCACACCTCAGGGCACTGTTCAGGGCTCTGGTCAAGTCACCACCATCCCCACAGTCTGTAGACGCTCTGGGTCTCTGCCTGACCCCCTCATTCCACCCGTCATCCGTCCGTCTACCAACCTACCCACCACCCACTTACACACTCATCCATCCATCAGCTGTCTATCCATCATCCATCCACCCATTCCCCTCCCATCCATAATACATCCATCACCCATTCTTCCATCCATTATGTTCTTTTTGTTGGCTTTTTGGGGGGTCCACACCTGGTGGTGCTAGGGCTTACTCCTGGCTCTGTGCTATGGGATCTCTGCTGGTGCATTCAAGGGACCCTATGGGGTGCCGAGTATTGAAGCTGGCCTGGCCACATGCACGGCAAAAGCCCTCCCCACTGACGTCAGTTGTACTCTCTCTCTCAGCCTCTGTTATCTGTTCTGCTCACCACCCACCCATCCTTCCTCTCACTTCTGTTTTCATTCCTTCACTCACCCACAGCCCCCATGAAGCACCTCCGTCGAGAGTCCCCTGTATCCTTTGGGTCCGATCATCAGCCAGCCCCCAGCAATTCCCAGAGACCGAAACAGTGCTTCCCCTTCTTTGTTCATGGGGGTCCCACCAGAGGGGCGATGTGGTCTGGGGCACCCTTGGCAGTGCTGAGGGCCAGGCAGTGCCACAATCACGCTTAGGCACGTGCACGTCAGACACGGCCTCTTCCTCCCTCCGCCCTGTGACCCCGGCTCAGTGAGCAGTGCGGGTCTTGGGCAAGAGTAGCGGTGGGCTCGGCTCGGCTCTGCTCCGCTCCCCTGAGCTCCCTCCCTTGGCCCCTCACTCAGCTCAGTCCTCTTGTGTCTCCAGATCCCTCTGAAATGTCAGATAAAGTAGCCAGTCTTAGCTTCTGCCTGTGGGGTTGGGGGGCTTGTGGCTCAGCAAAAGACGTTGCAGGCGCAAGGCACTGAGTTTGATCTTTGCTAGCACCAAAAGTGAGACAGTGCGAAGCATCTGGGAGTCCAGTGCAAGGTTGAGGACAGGGCAAATACATGTCAAGCCCCTTCTGTACCCAGAGCAGACATCACTAATCAACCCTGCACCAGCCCCTCCCTCCCAGACATCACTAATCAACCCTGCACCAACCCCTCCCTCCCAGACATCACTAATCTGCCCTGCACCACCCCCCTGCCTCCCAGACATCACTAATCAACCCTCAACGTGTCTCCTCCCCAGGCATCACTAATCAACCCTGCACCATTTCTCCCCTCCACCCACCCACCCAAGACATAAGTAACCAACCCTGCACCGTCCTCTCCCTCCCAGACGCAAGTCCCAGATCCAGGTGCAGGACCCGCAAACCCAACCCCGGGCACAGGCAGGAAGGAGCCGGAGCAGACTCTGTATTTGGGGGGCCAGTTTACAGATCTGACTCCCGGGAGCCCTTTCCAGTGCAGGGGCCGTACGGCAGGGGGTGGGAGGGAGTATGGGGGTGGGGGGAGTCACATCACCAGCCGGGGGCCATACAGGAGCTCGAGGATGCCTGGCAGTGGGCGTCGCTGAGCGGGGCTGGCCTGCCCACCCATTCGGGAGCCACGCCCCCCCTCCCCCCCCACAGATCGACGCGGTCCTGGACAGGCTCTCTTGAGTTTCTGGAGCGTGGATCAGGAGGGTCCGTGGCGCTGGGGCGGGTGGGACACTCACAGGAGGGTGCAGCTGTGCGAGCCCAGGCCCCAGGTGATCAGGCGCCGGGACCAGCCCCTGTAGGGCGGGTAGTGGAGATAGTTCAGCAGCTCGAGGTGGGCGGGGGAGAGCACGCAGGAGCGGTGGTGGGAGAAGGTGTCGAAGGTGAACTTCCCGTGGTACTTGCCCATGCCGCTGTTGCCTGGGTGCAGACAGAGGGGGCCCTGAGCCGCTCGCCAGGGAACCCCCTAGGTGTGACCACCCTCACAGATGTATTTTCTTTTTCTTTTTTTTTTTTTTCGTTTTGGGGCCATACCCAGCGATGCTCAGGGGTTACTCCTGGCTCTGTGCTCAGGGATCATTTCTGGCCGGGGCTCAGGTGACCCGATGGGGATGCAGGGGCGGAACCCGGGTGGGCCGCGTGCCAGGCAAGTGCCCTGCCCGTGGACGGACGGTGGTTCTGGTCCCACCCCGCGGGCACGGCGCCCCCCAGGAGATCCCTGGCGGGATCCAGGCTGAGCAGGAGGTGGGGTCTGGGGCACGGGCCGGGGCGTGGCTCACCGATGCCTCCCAGGGGCATGGAGGATAGAGTCAGGAAGGTGAAGCCATCGTTGCTGGCGAAGATGCCACTGCTGGTCTGACTCAGCAACTGGTTCACCACCTGCGGGGGGAGCGGAGGGGGCGGGGCGGTGATGGGGGACCCGACGGGGCAGGGAGGCGACAGCGCCCCCCTCTGGAGAGCCGGTGCAGCGGTCACAGGGGCGCCAGGACCCGGAGTGGAGAAGAGTGGTCACACCCGGGTGTCAGGGGGCTGGGGAAGTCCGGGGACTAAGGCACTTGCCCAGCGTGTGGCCGTGACTGACCCCGGGGGAGGGGGGGCGGGAACCCAGCCCTGCCAATGGCCCCTGGGCTCTGCACCTCTGGGTGTGACCCCCAAACCAAAGCACACACACACACAAAGCCCCGCACACAGTGGGGGAGCATCCCTGAGCGGGCATGGCCTGAAAGGGGTGGTCGCTGACCCCGGCCAGCCCACCTGGCGGTTGCTGGAGAAGGCGTACAGGGCCAGGGGCTTCTCCCGCCTCTGCATGAACTCGATGGCCTCGCTCAGGCTGCCCACCGTCAGGATGGGCAGGATGGGCCCGAAGATCTCCTCCTGCATCACCGGCTCAGTCTCCTGCACGTCCACCAGCACCGTGGGGGCTGCGGGCGGGGGCGGATCAGCAGGACAGACACCCCCACATACATCCAGGCTCCGGGGCAGGGCACACCAGAGTCCCCCAGCGCCCCCGAGAAGGGCCTGCGCGTGGGGTCCCCGGGCGGCGGGGCCGCTGGCCGCTGGCCGGGGAGGGCTGCGCTCACCGATGTAGCGGTCCTGCTCGTCCGTCTGGCCGCCGATGGCCACGCGGCCGCAGCCCAGCAGCCGCCGCAGCCGCTGGAAGTGCCTGTCGCTGACGATGCGGCACAGGTAGGGGGACCCCTGCGGGTCGGCACCGTAGAAGCGCTTGATGGAGCACTGTAGGGCGGGCAGCAGGCGCGCGCGCATCTCGGGGCTGCAGAGCACGTAGTCGGGCGCCACGCACGTCTGGCCCATGTTGAAGAAGCGGAAGAAGGCCACGCGGTTGGCCACGGTCTGGGGGTCGCAGTCGTCGTCCACGTAGCAGGGGTTCTTGCCCCCCAGCTCCAGCGTCACGGGGGTGAGGTGCTTGGCGGCCGCGCTCATGACCAGCCGGCCCACCTGCTGGCTCCCTGGCACACGGCGGAGCCCTCAGCACCCACGCACGCGCCTCTCGCCCCCACCCGCCCCGCCCCCTCCCTGGGCCCCGCCTTCCCTGGCCCCGCCTCCACCCCCCCCCACGACCCTCTGCACCGGCTTCCCTGCACCACGGGGCCTCACCCGTGAAGAAGATGTAGTCGAACTTGTGCTCCAACAGCCGGGCTGACTCCTCCGGCCCCCCCTGCACCACGGCGAAGCAGCTCTGCGGGGCACGGGAGAGGGGAGTCCCGGTGGGGGGCGGGAGGGGCAGGCAGGGGGCCGCGGGCGGGCTGGGGCGGGCCACTCACCGGGTCCAGGTAGCGGGGTAGCACCGTGGCCAGGACCTTCTGGACGCTCGTGCTGATCTCCGACGGCTTCAGGACCACGCAGTTGCCTGCAGGGACACGCAGGGGCCTGGGGCGTGGGGAGGCGCGGGACCCCCACCCCCTCCCCAGGCGAAGGTGGCAGGAAGGCGCGTGACTGAGGGCGCCGGGGAAGGAGAGCTCTGCGGGGCCGGGTCCCGGCGCCCCGCTCACCTGCGGCCAGCGCGCCCACCAGGGGCATCAGGGTGAGGTTGACCGGGTAGTTCCAGGGTGCCATGATGAGCACCAGGCCGTAGGGCTCCTTGCGGACGAAGGTGGAGCTGAGCAGCAGAAGCTGGGGTGCAGGGCTGCGGTGAGCGCCACCGAGGCCGGCCAGCGCCCCCTTCGGACCCCCACCCGCGGCCCCGGCACTCACCACGTTCCTGGACACCGGCTCATCCTTCATCCAGGCGTCCAGCTGCCGCAGCGCCAAGTCCACCTCGTTCTGACACAGGATCAGCTCGGAAATGTCGGTCTCGAAGTCCAGCTGCAGGCGGGGGGGTCACGTCAGGGAGGCCCTGAGAGCGGCCAGCCTGGCCCCAGCGCCCCTGGGGGTCCCTCGCCTGGCCCACCCTGCGCAGGTCGCCGGTCAAAGCCTCCTGCAGCAGCTCGTGGTTCTCCCGCAGGAACCGCTCCAGACCCCGCAGCTGCGCCTTCCGGAACTCGGCCGGCCGCGTCCGTCCCGAGCTGACCGTCTCCCGCAGCCGCCGCAGCGTGTCCGCCCAGGGCTCCATCCTGCGGGGACAGTGAGGTGGCCCCGGTCAGCCTCTCCCGCCCAGGGATCCATCCTGCGGGGGCAGCAGGGCCCGGTCAGGTCAGCCCCTCCCTCCCCCACCCACACCCAGGCTGACCCTCCCCTCCTGTCAAAGCAGGGTCAGAGGGGAATGTTCTGGAGCCCCTCGAAGACCCCAGGGGATGGAGTGGACACTGGAGATGGTGGGCCCTGAGCACACAGGGGGCTGTAGAGGTGTGACTCTGAGTTTGTTCCAGCATGTCTGTGTGTCTGTGTGTCCATGTGTCTCTGTGTGTATTGTGTGTGCGTGGCTGTGTGTCCATGTGCCTGTGTGTCCGTGTGCCTGTGTGTCTGTATGTCCATGTCTCCCAGTGTGTCTGTGTGTCCATGTGTCCCAGTGTATCTGTGTGTTTGTGTGTCTGTGTGTCTGTGTGTCCTGCTGTGTCCGTGTGTCTGTATGTCTATGTGTTCGTGTGTCCGTGTGTCCTGCTGTGTCCGTGTGTCTGTGTGTCCATGTGTTCGTGTGTCCTGCTGTGTCCATGCATCTGTGTGTCTGTGTGTCCCAATGTGTGTCTGTGTCTGTGTCCCCTGGGTCCCAGTGTCTGTCTGTGTGTCCAGTCCTGACCTCTGCCTGGGCAGCCCTGGACACCCCGGGCACGAGTGAGGGGCCTGCCCTGGCCACCCCGTTGGGCTCTGCACCCCAGTGCTGAGGACGGTCCTGTGGGGCTGGTCATGCCCGAGCAGAGCCTGAGACAGTGTCCTGTGGCCCTAGCCCTGCCTGGCCAAGTGGGGTGTCTGGGTGGGCCCTGGCCCGCCCTGCCACCTCCCTCAGCAGGGAGCAGGGGCTGTCCCCTCTGTCCTGGACGGGTCAGGTCCACCGGGGTGATGAGACCTTGCCGAGCTCCCCGCCCTGTCCTATAAGGTCTCTGGCCGAGGAGGGGCCATTGACTCAGTGCCCGCCAGGCGCCATCTGGACATACCTCCAGGGAGCAAAGACCCCACCCTGGGGCCAGGCAAGTCCAGCTAGAACAGAAGGGCCTGAGGGCTGTTGCTCCTCTGAGGGTGCTCACAGGAGCCCTCGCACCCCCCACCCCTGCCCTGCACCATGGGCAGCTGCTCTACCTGCAGGTCCTGCGTCACTCCCCTGTCTCGGGCACTGGCAGCAAATGCCGGGTCTGCCAGGAGCTCAAGGTGGCCAGACAAGCAGTGCCCACGCCCATTGGCAGCAGTAGGCGTGGGCTGTGAGGCTGAACCTAACAGAGGCAGGGCCGTCTGCTTCAGCTCCACCCCGCACTGTCTCGGTTCCAGGCTGTTCCTGCCAGGGTGGCTAAGCCAGGCCCGTGCATGGGCCTGGGGGTGGGGAGAGACGTCCCCACATGGAGGAGGTCGTGGGGCTGGGCCACAGGGCCTCCAGCATCAGATGCTGCCTCCTCCAGGAAGCCCTCGGCCCTCCCAGATCTCTGCACCAAGTTCCCAGGCGTCAAGCTCACCCCACCCCCATGCCTTGGGTTCCTTCCTTGCCACACTTGGTACCCTGGAGGCAGAGGATGGGGCGAGGCTGCAGGAGGGAGTTTTGAGGCAACCCCAGAGAACGTCAGTGCCTGGCGGTCTTAATTCCTGTATGGGTTTGGGGGAGGGAGTAGTTGGGTCACTCCTGGGAGCTGGAAGTCTTCCAAGTGCTCTCACCTCTCACCTGCTTTTTTTTTTTTTGGTGATTCTGTGTCAGCTATTCACTGTTCCAACACTCACCCACCCCCAGCTGCCTCCCTGGCAGGTGCCTCTCTCTCTCTCTCTCTCTCTCTCTCTCTCTCTCTCTCTCTCTCTCTCTCCCCCTCCCTCTCTCTCTCTGTGGTTTGCAGGTTCTGAGAAGTTATTCCGTTCGTCCCTTTACCTCCTTTCAGCACTCAATCCTTGTCCAGAGGGTCATTTCCAACTCTCGTTGTCATTGTGACTTTTAGGACACTGGTTACCTGTTGGTCTGCTTGCTTGGGCGGGGACGCAGGACCGTCATATCCTGGGGTTTTGGTAGTTGTCGGTCTGTCTGGAGCCAGACAGGCACCCAAGGCCTCCATATGCTGGGGTTTCGCACGCGGTCCCTTTGGTTGGTTCATGTGGGGCGCGGGGTCTGGGGGGTCTGCCCCTGGGCATCTGGTAATTCTGATTCTGATTCCTCAGCAAAAAGGGCCTCGCTTCCGGGCTGTCTCCCTGTGGCCACGTGCACGGCCTTGCCCAGCCTTGGTCAGCTCTCTGCTGCCCCTTTATTTCCCCTTTGGCTAGATCCACACAACAATTTTGTTTTGAATTTATTATGTTAATTTAAATTAGGAATTACTGGTTTTGGCATATCGAATACACAACGGATAGCTTGCGAGGCTCTGCCGTGCGGGCGGAATACTCTCGGTAGCTTGCCAGGCTTTCCGAGAGGGATAGAGGCTTTTGGGGCGGCCTCTAATCGCCGTTGTAAGTGTTACCATATTTGAACCCTATCAAATGGCAATACTAGCATGCCATAGGGACAAATGGAGACGTTACTGGCGCCCGCTCAAGCAAATCGACAATTAAGTGATCAAGTGATCAAGTGGTTTTAATTTATTTATTTTGAACAATGGAAGGACAGTGCTACAGTGCTATTTTTTTGTGGGAGGGGGTGTGGAGGATGGGCTACACCCAGTGTTGCTCAGGGGTTACTCCTGGCTCTGCACTCAGGAATTACTCCTGGCGATGCTCAGGGGACCTTGTGGGATGCCGGGGATCGAACTCGGGTCAGACACGTGCGAGGCAAATGCCCTACCCACTGTGCTATTAACTCTGACCCCTGTTCCACATGATCTTGATGACTGTCATTCACATTTTTTATTATTATTATTAGTGTTTGGTAATGCTCGGAGGTTACTCTCTTTTTTTTTTTTATGTAGGAGTACTGCTTAGCTGATTAAATTGGGCATGAACTCCACTCGGAGATTACTCTTGACTCTGTGCTCAGGAGTCACTCCTGGCGGTGCTTGGGGACTATACAGGATGCTGAGGATTGAACCCAGGTTGGCTGCATGCAAGGGTAAGGCCCTCTGCACTGTCCTTTCATTCCATCCCCTTATTATCATGTTTTTTACTTTTGAAACGAAAATTTTATTTTACTCCTTATATTTGTAATAATAATTTTATGTTCCATATCATTCATTAAATGAATTGTCTGCTGCTTGAACTTTTCATTTTACAATAATAATTATCACCCGCTACCTGTCTGAATGCAAGGTTCCATCCCAATGGAAAACCAGCAGGACCGTACTACTGTTCAAGAAGGGAGACATCCATGACATTGGCAACTATCGCCCGCTCTGCCTATTGTCTGTCATCTACAAGTTGTTCATTCGAGTCATCCTAAATAGGATTGGCAGAACACTAGATGAAGGACAACCATGCGAGCAAGCCGGGTTCCGCAAAGGATTCAGCACCATCGACCATATCCACACGATAACCAAGCTCATTGAGGTTTCTCGGGAGTTCAAGATGCCGCTCTGTCTAACGTTCATTGATTTAAAGAAGGCCTTTGATTCTGTTGAGACAGAAGCGGTCATTGAAGCCCTAGCCAATCAGGGCATTCAAGCCCAATACATCAGGATCCTCTGTGAGCTGTATTGCGGATTCACTACCAGGATCTCACCATTCTACAAAGAAGTGATCGTTGATGTCAAGAGAGGGGTGCGGCAGGGTGATACCATTTCACCGAAACTCTTCAGTGCCACCCTCGAGAACATCATGCGACGACTGGAATGGGAAGGAATGGGAGTGAAGATAGATGGTCGGCAACTACACCACCTCCGCTTTGCTGATGACATTGTTTTAATAACACCAAACATCAGCCAAGCGGCACAAATGCTGGCCGACTTTGACCGTGAGTGTGGAAAGGTAGGACTACAGCTGAATCTTACGAAGACAATGTTTATGGGAAACAGCCTCGTTCCTGACGCCCCATTCACTCTCAATGGAACGACCATCTCCGAATGCAACAGCTATGTGTACCCAGGTCGAGAGGTCAACATGACAAATGACCTGGCACCCGAGCTGCGCAGGAGGAAGAGAGCGGCTTGGAAGGCCTTCAAGAACGTCGAAGAAATAGCTAAGAGGACGAAGAACCTCCGGCTCCGGGCACATCTCTTTGATTCCACTGTTCTTCCTGCATTAACAGATGCCTCAGAGACCTGGGCCCTACGCAAACAAGATGAGAACGCCATTCAGGTCTCCCAAAGAAGAATAGAAAGAGCTATGCTTGGAATATCACGTTTCACTCAAATGAGAGAACGAATCCGGAGTTCTGACATCCGTCGACGATCAAGGATCAGGGACGCTGTCTCATTTGCCAAGGTGTCGAAAATCAGATGGGCTGGTCACGTAATGAGATTTAAAGACGACCGTTGGACTAGAGCTGATTGGATTCCACGGGATGTCAAAAGACCGCGTGGCCGCCCACCTACCAGATGGTCAGACTTCTTCGTCAAGATCATGAACGATCGGTTTGAGGCCCTTCATGTTCCCAGAGCGAACAGACGCCATTGGGCCACACTAGCATGCAACAGGGACAAATGGAGACGTTACTGGCGCCTGCTCGAGCAACTCGACGACTAACGGGAAGTTAAGTGATTAAGAATTATCATTATTATTATTATTATCATCATCATCATCATCATCATCATCTGTAGCACTGTAGCACTGTCCTCTCATTGTTCATCGATTTGCTCCAGCAGGCTGAGTAACGTCTCCATTGTGAGACTTGTTGTTACTGTGTTTGGCATACGAATACATCATGGGTAGCTTGCCAGGCTTTGCCGTGAGGGTGAGATACTCTCGGTAGCTTGCTGGGCTCTCTCAGAGGGGTGGAGGAATCGAACCTGGGTCGGCTGCGTGCAAGGCAAACACCCCACCCACTGTGCTATCGCTCCAGCCCATTATTATTCTCATCATTTTAAATTTTGTTGGTTTGGCAGCCATACCTCTCTGTGCTCAGGGATTACCTTTTTTTTCTTTTCTATTTTGGGTCACACCCAGCAATACTTGGGGGTTCCTCCTGGCTCTGCACTCAGGAATTACTCCTGCCGGTGCTCGAGGGACCCTATGGGATGCTGGGGATCGAACCCTGGTCAGCTGCGTGCAAGGCAAACGCCCTACCTGTTGTACTATCGCTCCAGCCCCTCAGGGATCACTCTTGGTGGGGTCTGGAGGACCCTCTGTGCTGTTGGGGGTCAGGTCAGTCACATGTCTCATTCCCTGCCCTGTCTCAGGTCTCTCAACTGACCAATTTGAAAAAAGAGAGAAGTAAAATCAATTTATTTTGGGAAATGGGAGTGGGAAGAGACCGAGCTTTGCATTCAAGTGAAAATGTGAGTGAGAGGTCGGAGCCACAGTCCAGCGGAGAGGACTCTGGCCTGGCACACGGCCGAGCTGGGTTCGATCCCCGGCTCCCCATATGGTCCCCTGACCCTGCCAGGAGTGATCCCTGAGCCCCGAGCCAGGAGTCAGTCCCGAGCATTGCCGGGTGTGGCCCAACACCTCCACTCCCACCCAAATGTGTGTTCAGAAGTACATTAAGCCATAAAGCAAAAGAATTTCCACATCTTTTTTGTTTGGGGGGAGGGGTCACACCCGGTAATGCACAGGGGTTATTCCTAGCTCTGCACTCAGGAGTTACTCCTGGCGGTGCTCAGGGGACCATATGGGATGCTGGGAATCGAACCCGGGTCGACCGTGTGCAAGGCAAATGCCCTACCCGCTGTGCTATCTCTCTAGCTCCGAATTTCCACATCTTGAGGTGCCAGTGTGGGAAATATCATACCAAAGAGAAGCACACTTTTGAACTACAGGACCTCCCCCATCTCCCTCCCCCCAATGTCATGTGGTCCCGTATGGAGCCTCTGGACGTTATTAGCAGATAGACTGGTTCAAAAATACTAGAAAGTCACCCACATAATATGCTGGAGCCCTCCTCTCCTGAGCCACCCTCTACACCCCAAATTCTAGCCTCATGGTTCTCATGCCCTGGCCAGTAGTCAGCGTGCCCTGCCCCACCCAGCTCCTCCTCTTTATTTTTTTAATTAAAAAAAATTCTTACTGAATCCCAGTGAGATACATAGTTACCAGGTTGTACATAAACCTGTGATACAGTGTTTCAACACCCCTCAGTGATACAATGTTTCAACACCCCTCGCCTCACCAGTGCACATTTCCCACCACCAATGTCCCCTGTCCCCAGTTTCTTCCTGTCCCCCACGTCGCCCACTTGCCTGCTTCTGTGGCAGGCACTTTTCTTATCTCTCTCTCTCTCTCTCTCTCTCTCTCTCTCTCTCTCTCCCTCCCCCTCCCTCTCTCCCTCTCTCTGTCTCCCTCTCTTTTCCTCTCCCTCTCTCTCCCTCTTTTCCCCTCTCTCCCCCTCTCTCTTTCTCTCTCCCTCTATCCTCTCTCTTCCTTTCACTCTCTCTCTCTCTCTCTCCCCCTCTCTCTCTCTCCCTCTCCTTTTGGGCATTATGGTTTGCAATACAGACGCTGAAAGGTCATCATGTATTTTCTTTTACCTACTTTCAACACTCTGTTCTTGTCCAGCGTGATTATCTCCAACTATTATGATCATACCGTTCCTTATCTATCCTAACTGCCTGTTGCCTCCCACACACATGTTGCAACATTGGACCAGTCCCCCTCGCCCCTGTTTCTACTGTCCTTGGGCATTGACCTCCTACTATATTTTTTAATATCCCACAGGTATTCCGTGTCTGACCCTCTCTGACTCATTTCACTCGGCATGATACGCTCCACGTCCATCCATTTATAAGGAAATTTCATGACTTCACTTCTCCTTGACGGCTGCATAGTATTCCACTGTGTAGATGGCTCACAGTTTCCTTATCCAGACGTCTGTCCTCGGGCACTCGCCGGCTGCCCCTTATGTCACCTGTTCCTCCGTATGCTCCCGCTCTCCCGGCACCCGGCGCCCTCCCCTCCCCCACCCTTCCTCTCTCCCCCTACTGCCCTGGAAACGAGGCTGTGGCCTCACCAGACCCCACCCACATTCCTGCCCGCCCGCTCCCCTTCTAGCAACTTCGACACTTCATTTCCTTCACAGCCCGATCCCCAGGTCTGGTTTTCAAGTGTCATTAAGTTGTATAGTTGTATGCCAGATTCTTTTCTGTTCTCTTTCTTTTGGGATGTGTGTGTGTGTGTGTGTGTGTGTGTGTGTGTGTGTGTGCATTTGTGTCTGTTTGATTTGGGGCCACACCTGGCGGTGCTCAGGGCTTCCTCCTGGCTCTGCACTCAGGAATCACTGCTGGCAGTGCTTGGGGGACCACATGTGGCTGGGGATCGAACCCGGGTCTACCGTGTGCAAGGCCTGCGCCCTCCCCTCCCTGGCCACCCCTCCTTTGTTTTCTGTTCTTTTTTCGTTTTGGGAGGATGCTCAGTTCTCACCCGGTGCTGCTTCTGGAGTTGCAGCAGCTCTGTTGGGGGGGTGTGAGGGGTCACTCCCGGCCAAGGGAAGGCCTTAGCTCGTAGACCTCGCAGACCCCCTTTCCTTTCCTCATGAGGACTGAGTCACGTGCCCTCAAATGCACCCCGGCCAGGAGTACCCTGAGGTTCTCTGAGTCCATTCCCCTCTTGGCCCCAGCAAGCTCCTTTCTCGGAACCCGAGACCACCAATCAGGCCCTTCGGGTTCCTGCCTCTCCCAGACATCTGGGATACCCTCTGGGCCACAGCAAACACCCTGGCCAGCTGTTGCTGTTGGGTCAGGGCCGGGTTGCCTCAGAGGGTGCCAGGCACCGGGCTCCCACGCGGTCTGCCCAGCGGCTTCCCGGCCACATGTGGGTCGGGAGTCACAGCTCCAGGGCGCCGGCTCTGTGCACTTCTGGAACCTTCTTCCCTGCTCCCTGAGCCAAGTGTGGGCCGTGGGGTGGTGGCGCTCCCTATAGCAGGGTTCACTGGCCTCAGGCACCCACCGTGGGTAGCAGCAGCCCAGCGCGTGGTGGGTCATGGTTGGCCTGGGGGCTACCCGGAGCTGGCCTAGCGAGAGGCCCCTGGAAGCAGGGGCCCCCCTCCTCCAGGCAGCGAGGGTCCCAGTGCCACTGATCTTAGTCATGTGCTCTAGGCAGGCGCCCAGGCTTCCCCAGTTCCTGGGGCTCTTCACATCTTGGACGTTTTCCCAGGGCCCCAAAGTCTGGAGAATGACACGTTTCTGCATTTAGAAATGATTTCAGCTCTCAGCAACGTAATGAATATTCGTGCTCTCAACACATCAGACGCTTAGCAAATGGAAGAGCCTTGGTGAGAAGGGAGGAAGTGGGGGGCTGGGAGACGCTCAACGCCCATGAGGCTCCAGCTCCATCCCCAGCGGTCCCCTGAGCACCACAGGGCGTGACCTCGGAGCACTAAGCAAGGAGTCACTGCTGAGCACTGCAGGATGTGGCCCAGAGAGAGATACTGATGCTTGGAAGACTCACTCCTTAGACATCCACTTTGATTTTTTTTTTGCTTTTTGGGTCACACCCGGCGAGGCACAGGGGTTACTCCTGGCTCATGCACTCAGGAATCACTCCTGGTGGTGCTCAGGGGACCATATGGGATGCTGGGAATCGAACCCGGGTCAGCCGCGTGCAAGGAAAACACCCTCCCCGCTGTGCTGTCACACCAGTCCTCCACTTTATTTTTTTTGCTTTTTGGGTCACACCCAGCGATGCATAGGGGTTACTCCTGGCTCTGTGCTCAGGAATCACTCCTGGCTGGCGGTGCTTGGGGGACCATATGGGATGCTGGGAATCGAACTCGGGTCGGCCGTGGGCAAGGCAAACGCCCTCCCCGCTGTGCTATTGTTCCAGCCCCTCCACTTTTTTAACTTTTTCTTTGGTTCCAGGCACAAAGCAGCGCCCCCCCCCCCCCCATGCCGGGTGAGGGTGCCACCTGGCACCCCCTTCCCAGCTGTGCTCCTTGACCTGGCCTGTGTGCTTCTGCAGTTCAAGAACAGGGACCCCAGTCTCACTTAGACGGTCCACGGTCACCCTTTCTGCTCCCAGGAGGAGGCGGGGGGCACTGTGCCAGGTCGCGATGGCGTCACCTCCCGCAGGCCGGGTCCCACGGAAAGTCGGTTGTTGCTCCGTTCCACCAATGCCTCGCTCCGGGTGAAAAGTGAAGCCGCCGACCGCCACCCACTCCTGCCTCTCACAGGCCAGGTGCCAGCCTCACCCTGCTCCCGGGGAGGTGGCAGCGAGAGGCTTGGCGGCCCGCTCCCTGTCCCCGGACTTCGGGCCAGAGAGCTCAGGGACCCACCTGGGCTCAGTCCCTGGCACCCAGCGGGTACCCCGAGCATCGCCAGGGTCACGCCTGTACACGAAGCCGGGAGAAGCCCCAGCCCCTGGCCCCAAGGAGGATCCAAGGTCAGGGGCACCAAATGAGGCACTGGGGGCAGGGGGAAGGGGCTTCGTCGGGTGGGTGTGGACAGGCCAGGGGGCGCTTAGGGGACAGATGCCTCTGGGGGTTCCCTGAGTGCTGACTCCCCGCCTGCCCCCAGCCCAGCCTCCACAGCACTTCCCACTGGGCTCTCCTACTCTGGGGGGCGGCGGGCCCCTGAGCTTCCAGACCCCGCACCAGCTCTGCATCTCAGGGCCCGAGGCGGGGGCTGGACACTTGACCTGGGCTCGGACACCACATACGGGGCACAGATGACCTATGGGTCCTACCCCCAAAGGAGTCCCTTTGGGAGAGGCCGGCAGGGAGGAAACGCCCCAGGGAGGAAAAGACCAGGGCGGGGGGCCAGAGCCTGGGCCTCAGAACTGTCCTTTATTTTTACTTTGGGGGTCACACCCAGCGATGCTCAGGGGTTACTCCTTGCCCTGCACTCAGGAGTCACTCCTGGAGATGCTCAGGGGACCATGTGGGATGCTGGGGATCGAACCCGGGTCGGCCGCGTGCAGACAAGACTCCCGCCCGCTGGACAGCCGTCCTTTATTTAAAGCTTATTTATGTTTTTGGGCTGGGCCACACCCAGTGTCGCTCAGGGATCAGTCCTGGTGCTTGGGGGCCGTGTTCGCAGCCGGGAGTAGAACTGGGGCCCACCACACGTGAGCCAACAGCCTAACCCGGTCCTGTCCTTCTGGCCCGGGGCCGATCTTTCCATCTCCAGGGAACTGGCAGCCCCCTCGGTCACTGCGGGCACCTGGGGACTTTCTGGGCTTTTCTCCAGGTGGATGGGATGGGGCTGGCAGCTGCAGCGGCGGGGGGGGGGGGGGTCAGGCAGGGGGTCTCGTGCCAGGTCTGGGATCAGCCAGGCCCACGCGCACGTCCCACGCAGCCTGATGCTCCCACGGGTCCAAGGCTCCTTACTGCTCATTCCGTGGAGTCGCTCCTCAGTCCCACGGCAGGTGCAAAGCTCGCAGCGAGTTAGCGCACAGAGAGAGAGAGAGAGGAGATGGAGGAGAGAGGGGGGAGAGAGAGGGGGGGAGGGGAGAGAGGGAGAAAGAGAGGGAGAAAGAGAGACAGGGAGAGAGAGAAGGAGATAGAGAAAAAGGAGAAAGAGAGAGGGAGAGAGAGGGAGGGAGAGAGACAGACAGACAGACTGACAGAGATCCTCTTTCTAGCCTGGGGTGGGGGCTTCGTACTGTCTCTCAAACCCGAGGTCTCACCCAGGGGTCTCAGGCCCCCAACCACCTTGGAGGTGGCTCAGTCCAAGCTTCAGGGGACCCCCCGCTCTGGAAGAGGTGCAGGTGGGCACTCACTGCTCCTCTGGCCCGTCCCCTCCCTGCGCCTGTTCATAGGGGCAAGGCCGGCGACAGGCGACTGGTTCGGGGCCTGGCCGGGTCCCAGCAGGAGGGGCCTCCTCCTCCAGGCAGTCCTCAGGGACTCCTCCTGCTCCACCACCGCCAGGCTCGGCCTCCCCGTCACTCGCGTCCGAGTTGTCCTCTTCCAGGTAGCGGTAGCCGCGCACTTTGTGCTGGGGCCGCGGGATGCGGGGCTGACGGGGCAGCAATCCGTGACGCAGCTTCTGCTCCATCCACAGGTAGGACACCACGGCTGCCACCAGTGTTAGCAGCAGCACCACCAGCTTTGCCTGGGGACACCGGGGGGTTAGGGGATCCCATGCTCCTCCCTCAGGGTCCCCGTCCCTCGGTTCCCCTAAGTGCAGACGGCAGCGCCTCTGTCTCTAGAGGTGACAGGGATCCAGTGGCATCGACTGCTCTGAGCCATCAAGAGGAGGGTCTGCTCTGCACCTCCCACCCCCGGGGCTGCGGCCCGGCACACAGGGCGTTGTCATGGCTACGCTTTCTGTCCTTACTCCTTGGTTCATGCTGAGGGGGGCAGGGGCTGCTAGAAGGGCCAGGCAGTGGCTGGGGTCAAAGGGCCCGGCCACGGAGAGAGACGACCCTCAGGCATCCAGATTGGGGCTGGGATGCAGCCCCAGAAAGAGCAGAGTGAACGCCTTCACAGATGGGTAAACCGAGACAGAGAGGTGCCGGGTCTGGCGAGTGGCCCTGCCCACAGAGTTTGGAGGCCAGGTGGACCCTTGAAACCACCCCGGAAAGAGCAGAGTGAACGCCTTCACAGATGGGTAAACCGAGGCAGAGAGGTGCCGGGTCTGGTGAGTGGCCCTGTCCACAGAGTTTGGAGGCCAGGTGGACCCTTGAAACCACCCCGGAAAGAGCAGAGTGAACGCCTTCATAGATGGGTAAACCGAGGCAGAGAGGTGCCGGGTCTGGTGAGTGGCCCTGTCCACAGAGTTTGGAGGCCAGGTGGACCCTTGAAACCACCCCGGAAAGAGCAGAGTGAACGCCTTCATAGATGGGTAAACCGAGGCAGAGAGGTGCCGGGTCTGGTGAGTGGCCCTGTCCACAGAGTTTGGAGGCCAGGTGGACCCTTGAAACCACCCCGGAAAGAGCAGAGTGAACGCCTTCACAGATGGGTAAACCGAGGCAGAGAGGTGCCGGGTCTGGTGAGTGGCCCTGTCCACAGAGTTTGGAGGCCAGGTGGACCCTTGAAACCACCCCGGAAAGAGCAGAGTGAACGCCTTCATAGATGGGTAAACCGAGGCAGAGAGGTGCCGGGTCTGGTGAGTGGCCCTGTCCACAGAGTTTGGAGGCCAGGTGGACCCTTGAAACCACCCCGGAAAGAGCAGAGTGAACACCTTCATAGATGGGTAAACCGAGGCAGAGAGGTGCCGGGTCTGGTGAGTGGCCCTGTCCACAGAGTTTGGAGGCCAGGTGGACCCTTGAAACCACCCCGGAAAGAGCAGAGTGAACGCCTTCATAGATGGGTAAACCGAGGCAGAGAGGTGCCGGGTCTGGCGAGTGACCCTGTCCACAGAGTTTGGAGGCCAGGTGGACCCTTGAAACCACCCCGGAAAGAGCAGAGTGAACACCTTCACAGATAGGTAAACTGAGGCAGAGAGGTGCCGGGTCTGGCGAGTGACCCTGCCCACAGAGTTTGGAGGCCAGGTGGACCCTTGAAACCAACTTGCTCCCTGAGGTGGCGAGAGGGGGCTGAGTGCCCGGAAGCAGCCCACCTTCATGGGTAAGCCGGAGCCCAGGTACACCACGAAGATGGCCACGGCCTGCCACCAGTGGTAGATGGTGAAGATGAAGTCCTGCCTCTCTTTGTCCTCGTACAGGATTCCCAGAAGTGCTGCGGAGAAAGAGGGGTGCTGTCCCCTGGGGCCCAGCCCCCTCCTCGGCCCTGCCCTGAGCCCCCTGAGCCCCCAGAAAACCCGGGTTTGGGGGTCCTGGTCCGTCCCCTAGTGGAGATGCTAGGTGTGATGCCGTCAGGAGAGAGTGAGAAGCTGCTCAGCCCCTTCCTGCGACCCCCAAAGGCCACTGCTGCTGGGAGACGCCCTCCCGCCCATCCTCCTAGGCCCCCTGTGATACAAGACCCTGCAGCTCTGCCTGTTGGGCTTGGGGAGGGCACACAGTCTGGGGAAACAAGTGTTCTGCAAATCAAACCAACATGGGGTGCGGGGGTTGGAGAGAGAATACGGCGGGGAGGGTGTTTGCCTTGCACATGGCTGATCCGGGTTCGACTCCCAGCATCCCATATGATCCCCTGAGTACCACCAGGAGTAATTCCTGAGTGCATGAGCCAGGAGTAAGCCCCAAGCATCTCAAAAAAAAAAAAAAACCCAAAGAAACCCCGAAACCATGGGGAGACAGATGCACTCATTCTCCAAAGAAGGTCCCTAGATTCTCGGGTCCCCAAAGAAGAGACAGGAAGTCGGGCTGTGCAGACAGGGAGCTGGGCCTGGCACAGTCCTGTCAAATTTTGGTCACTGTCGAGAGCTGGGTCCCCTGGAGCTATCCGGCCAAGGGGACTTTACTCCCCAAGCTCTAAATACCGACTTCCTGAGATGGTGGCTCAGGCCCCCCATGGCTACAGAACCTCATGACTGACCTCCCCGCCCAGAGGGCCCAGGCCACTCTCCCAGGGTGCCGGTGCCCCTCACCCGCATCCTCACGCAGCCCCAGGGCCCAGGCTGTACTCACTGCTGAGGCCGGTCTTATTGAGGGCACTGCCCACGCCCCACAGAACGGCCACCACGTACAGGGTCCACATGTGCTGCAGGGTCCGAGGCGCTGGGGCCCACAGGAAGAGGCCGAGAATGAGGAGCAGGTGCACCATGGCCCCGGCCACCAGGGGCACCGAGCGGGGCAGCCAGAGCCCCAGCAGGCCCAGGAGGGACGAGGCGGACGCGCCCAGCCCGTAAGCCACGAGGAGGTTGGCCAGGCGCTCCAGCCCCACGGAACACACGCCGTAGCCCTGCGGAGAGGGGCGCGCGCTGGAGGGCAGATGGCCACGGCTCGGGCCCTGCCCCCTGCAGGCAGCCTCATCTTAAGTCACACTCTGCCCTCTGCAGGCCACCGGGCCCAGCGCCCTTCCAGCATCCTGGAAGGTTCCAGGGGACCGAGGATGAGAAAACGTCTGGGCAGTCCCCAAAGCACCAGGCTGCCCGCCCCGCCTCCCAGCCCTCATGAAACCAAGTGCTGTGTGGCCCTGACACTCCTGCAGCCTGACCAAGCATTTAGTAAGGTCACCTGCTCCGGGTGGAGGGGGCCCAGGGAAAGCTAAGAGAAGGGCGGGATGGAGTTTGGGGACGCACATGCGCACACATTCAGGTACTTCAAAACGACTCGTGTATCTGACATTCACTCTTCACAGCACGCTGATGCTCTCCTTACCAGGGCGATGCCCGTGCAGGCAAAGAGCACCTCAAAGCCGCTGTAGATAAAGAAGGGCACGAGGTGCCGCAGGCGGTAGTCGCGGACGTGCTTGAAGGGCAGCTGGAAGATGTTGCCCCAGCCCACGCTGCGCAGGTCAATCTCTTCCGTGGGCCGGTAGGCGGCGCCGCACAGACCCAGCACCTGCAGACGCGGTGGGAAAGGCCGGGTCCGCAACTAGCCCCGCCCAGGGACACGCCCACAGCGAGGCCCCACCCACCAAACACGCCCACAAATCTTGGCACCGCCCTGGCCTCTGTGACTCTGTCCCCCAAAGCATCACCCTACCTCCTCTGGCTCTCCCTGCACCCTCATCTTCAGCTCCGCCTTCCATAACACCAAGAGACATCACCCCTAGGTCTCTGCCCCTCGGATCCCTCCCGCCCCTGACACTCTGCAGATATTGGCCCCGCCCCTGAAGCACAACCTCATCCTCTCCAGCACGGGCTCTGCCCTTGAGCCGCAACCCCGCCCCCTCCCAGCCCAGGCTCCGCCCCAAACCACAACCCCATCCCCTTCCAGCCCAGGCTCCGCCCCCGAACCACAACCCCGCCCTCTCCCAGCCCAGGCTTCGCCCCAATCGCAACCCCGCCCTCTTCCAGCCCAGGCTCCGCCCCCCGAACCACAACCCCACCCTCTTCCAGCCCAGGCTCCGCCCCCAAACCACAACCCCACCCTCTTCCAGCCCAGGCTCCGCCTCCGAACCACAACCCCACCCTCTTCCAGCCCAGGCTCCGCCTCTGAACCACAACCCCACCCTCTTCCAGCCCAGGCTCCGCCCCCAAACCACAACCCCACCCTCTTCCAGCCCAGGCTCCGCCTCCGAACCACAACCCCGACCTCTTCCAGCCCAGGCTCCGCCTCTGAACCACAACCCCACCCTCTTCCAGCCCAGGCTCCGCCCCCGAACCACAGTCCCGCCCTCTTCCAGTCCAGGCTCCGCCTCCGAACCACAACCCTGCCCTCTTCCAGCCCAGGCTCCGCCCCCGAACCACAACCCTGCCCTCTTCCAGCCCAGATTCTGCCCCTGAACCACAGTCCCGCCCTCTTCCAGCCCAGGCTCTGCCTCCGAACCACAACCCCGACCTCTTCCAGCCCAGGCTCCGCCCCTGAACCACAACCCCACCCTCTTCCAGCCCAGGCTCCGCCCCCGAACCACAACCCCGCCCTCTTCCAGCCCAGGCTCCGCCTCCGAACCACAACCCCGACCTCTTCCAGCCCAGGCTCCGCCTCTGAACCACAACCCCACCCTCTTCCAGCCCAGGCTCCGCCCCCGAAACACAACCCCGCCCTCTTCCAGCCCAGGCTCCGCCCCCGAACCACAACCCCGCCCTCTTCCAGCCCAGGCTCCGCCCCTGAACTGCAACCCCGCCCCCATCCAGCCCGGGCTCCACCCCAAACTGCAACCCCGCCCTCAGTCCAGGCCACGCCCCCCACCCCAGACCTTGGCCCGCCCCCAAGACCCAGACCCCAGCCCCTAGCCGCACCCCTCCCCCTCCAGGTCAAGGTCACTCCCCAAATCTCATTTACACTGCTCAGTATTATCAACCCCCCAGGTTTGAACCCTGCCTCCCTGGGCTGGGGCTGGGCCTCTGCACCCTCCCCGCACAGCCCTCATCCCCAGGCCAGGCCGGGGCCCCTGGAGTCCATAGTAGCCTACAGACGCCCCATCCCCTGCCCACCGCCCCTGCCCCGGGCCGCACCAGCAGCATGGCGAAGAAGGCCACGGCCATGAGCGCGCTCTCCACCACGATGAGGTTGCGGCTGCGCGGCAGCGTGCGGAGGACCGTCTTGTTGAAGCCGCTGAGGATGCCGTGGCTGTTGGTACCTGCGGAGGGCAGGGCCGGCCTTGTGAGGCCCCCCCACCACACACACACAGTGATAGACCGGGCGGCAGCACCCAGATGGGGCAGGCGAGGGCAAGGGTTTCACAGCGAGCAGGCTGGAGCTGAGTGACGCCCATGGCAAGGAGCGTCCTCCCACTTCCCGAATTACAGCCTCAAATTCTGCGGGGTGGGGCACCTCCACTCACTTGGCCTGACTGGGGCCTAAAGAGAGCTTTCCCGCCTCAGCACGGATGGCACCTCCTCCGGGCAGCCTTCCCTGATACCCACCCCTCCTCTCCCCCACCACGCTGGATCAGTCGCTTCTGGGCCTTGCACAGCACGCTCTGATGCTCAAAGAACCTCCACTCTGTGGAGGAGGCGAAGCCCCAAGCACTCACCGCAGCTGAGCACGGAGTACAGCGTGTGGTTCAGGTCATACAGGTAGTGGTTCAGGAAGTAGATCATGGGCAGCTGGGCACAGGCGAAACTCAGCTGTGGGCAGGACGGCAGCTTGGACCAAGCAGGGGGCACGGGTGTGGTCTGGGGGCAGGGGGCGGGCAGGCCTGGGGGCAGGAGCCCTCCCCAGTGTGTGGGCAGCCAAGGGAGGCAGGCTGGGAAGAGTGGTCTGTTACTTGGGGGCCCCGGGGCTGAGGGGCTGAAGGGTCCGGGGGGCCCCCTGGTATCTGGGCCCGCCCCCCCCCACACGCACGTGGAAGCAGCTGTAGAAGATGGTCTGGAAGACCAGGAGGTAGGGCGCGTGGGAGCCCCGTGGCGGGCGCTTCTTCGGGCCGTGCTCCTCCCGCTCCTTGAAGTGGACGTACTCGTCGTACTTCTGGGCCATCCTGCGCACAGAGGGGGCAGGCTCGCCCCGCTTCCTGCCCGACGCCCGGACCCCCCACCCCTCGCCCGAGGCCCAGGGCTCACCTGGTGATGTAGTTCCCCAGGGACGCCCAGAGCGGCACGATGGCCACGCCCAGGGCCACGGCCGAGGGCACCAGGGTGTAGTAGCGCTCCCAGTAGTTGGTGGAGACAAAGAGGGCGTAGATGCCCACCCCCAGGAACATCATCCACTTGGTGCCGAAAAACCTGTGGCAGGGTGGTGCGGGGGGGGGGGGGCTAGGTCAGGGGTCAGGGGTCAAGGACCAGAGGGTTTTTTTTTTTTTACTTTTTGAGTCACACCCGGTGATGCACAGGGGTACCTCCTGGCTCTGCACTAAGGAATTACTCCTGGTGGTACTCAGGGGACCATATGGGATGCTGGGAATCGAACCCGGGTCGGCCGCATGCAAGGCAAATGCCCTACCCGCTGTGCTATTGCTCCAGTCCCCGGATCAGAGTTTTTTATACTTCTTTATTTTGGTTTGGGGACACGTGGCCATGTCCAGGACTTACTCCCGGCTCTGTGCTCAGGGATCATGACTAGCGGGCTCACGGGACGTAGGGGGGGTGTCCAGGGTTGAACCCAGGTTGGCTGTGAGCAAGGCCAGTGCACTCCTCTCTGTTCTGTCGCTCCAGGGCCCCTTGAGTGCTGCCTGGAAGTCCCTACCTCCCATTCTGCAAATAAAACAGCCTGTGAGGCCTGGGCGGGAGGCAGACGCTGGCCTGGTGGCCTGGCGGAGCAGCCATGCCCACGTGGCAGCTGGCGGCTGTGAGCTGGGCCGCGATCCCACGTCTAGGAGTCAGGCCCTAGGATGGGGGCTCAGAGCGCCTCTTGCGGCCACAGCAAGGGGGACACGGGTGCGGGTGGGCAGCTGGGTCCCCGCACCCTTGGGCCCGGGCTGGCAGCGTCACCAAGCCAGTAGCTCTCACAGTCACATGCCGAGCCCAGGCCCACACCCAGGAAGCCAGCCCAGCTGAGCCGGGCAGGCAGAAAAGGAAGCGACTTGACCAGGTCCACACCTGGGTTCCTGCCCTCCGCCATGGGCCACTGTGGCTGGCCAGTCGGTTTCCTCCCTGTGGGCCCCCAGGACAAGCCTGGCTGGGTTAACAAGTGACCAGCAGACCCACTAGGGGCCCCATAAGGCATGAGGCTGGTCAGCCTAGAACTCCAGGGGGCTTTGGGTTTTTTTTTTTCTTTATTTACTAGTATTTCTCTTCGTCAGGAACCTCTAGATTCCACAAAGCTCAAAGCTTTGGGTGTACAATAACTTTTTCTACCAAGACAGGGATAAACAAGCCAGTTCTTTAGTTACACTTAAAACACAGCTGGGGGGGGGGGGGGCTGGAGCAATAGCACAGCGGGGAGGGCATTTGCCTTGCACGTGGTCGACCCGGGTTCGATTCCCAGCATCCCATATGATCCCCCGAGCACCGCCAGGAGTAATACCTGAGTGCATGAACCAGGAGTAACCCCTGTGCATTGCCGGGTGTGACCCAAAAAGCAAAAAAAAAAAAAAAAAAAAAAAACAGCCGGGGGCTGGAGCGATAGCACAGCGGGGAGGGCGTTTGCCTTGCAAGTGGCTGACCAGGTCCGATCCCCGGCATCCTATCAGGTCCCCTGAGGCCACCAGGAGTGATCCCTGAGTGCAGAGCCCAGGAGTCAGACCTGAAAAAAATCGCTGGATGTGGCCCAAACAGCCCCTACAGCTCCGAAACAGGAAACGGCTTTAAGCACAGTCCGACTGTAGCGTCTGCTTGGAAAACACGGGCACCCCTCTCCGCAGCGGGCAGTGGGAGCCAGGGCCAGTCAGGGCCAGGGCCCGGGCTCAGTGGCGAAGCCTTTGCCTTGCAGGTGTGAGGCCCCGGGGTTGACGCCCAGCACCGCAAAGGGAAAAGCAAGGACAGTGGACAGCGGCCACTCGCGCCCTCCAGTAGGACCACAGACAGCGGCCACTGCACGGCCTGGGAGAAGCCGTGATCTTGTCCTGGTTTCGCTGATGATTCTTTTTCTTTTGGGGTGGGGTCACACACCCAGCGATGCTCAGGGGTTACTCCTGGCTCTGCGCTCAGGGATCACTCCGGGGGGTGCTCAGGAGACCCAATGGGATGCCGGGGATCGAACCCGGGGTGGCTGTGTGCAACCCCGCTGTGCTGTGGCTCAGACCCCTCCTTGCTGCTTCTGGAGCTCCAGGGCTCGCTGAGGTTCTGTCTTTATTGAAACGAGGAGCAACTAAAGCCCGTCTGAGCAGAGACCTCCACCCGACGGGGTGGGAGCGGGCTGGGGGGGGTGCCCTCTGCTGCCTGGGGGCTCGGGTTAAGACCCTCTGTGATGCTGTGCCCTGTCTGTGAGACATGCCCAACCCCCCCCCAACTCCAGCTGTCGGGGCTGCCGGGCCTGGCGGTGGGGGGTCCCTGATGAGATGCTCTCCCACCTCGGCTCACAGCCAGGAAGCTCCTGGTGGCCCAGGCCACAGACCCCCACGTGCGGCTTGGCCACACTTGTGACTCCTGTGTCTCAGGGGAGCAGCTGTTCCCGCCAAGCTCGCCCCGCCCCAGAGCAGGGCAGCTGCGCGCCCACCTGATGAGCACCGGCGTGTAGAGCAGCGCGGCGATGGGGGTGACGTTGATGCCCATCAGCATCTTGCTGTCGATGTCGGGGAGCCCCATGTTGCCGTACTTCACCTCGCGGTACGTCTCGTCGTAGTGCAGGACCAGCTGCATCTGCAGGAGGCCTGGGCACAGGGCGGCCCCGGGGACCCCAATTCCAACACCAGGAGGAGAGTGGGGGGCATCCTGCCACCCCGCCCACGTCTGAATGCAGACCCCCGAGACCCGCTGGCCTCCCCCATTCTTGAATTTTTTTTCCCTTCGTGATCTGGGGGCCGCGGTGCGGGGGCTACTCCCAGCTCGGTGCTCAGGGATTGCTCTGGGCAGCCCGCAGGGGACCATGTGAGGTGCCCGAGAACCCCCAGCCAGCTCTCCGCACTTTGGGACTCCAGCCCCCCGCCCCACGCAGCCCCTGTCTAGGGGTCCCTCTCCGAGGTTCCGATCGGTCGGGACCCGGGGACCCCCGTCCCCAGCACGTGGTTGGGTGGGCGGGGGGCGGTCGCCGCGGCAGCTGGGGGGACGGCAGGCGGGAAGCGAAAGAGGAAGGAACCCCGCGAGCGTTTAGGTTTCTTTTTCCCAGCCTGGGCGTCGGGGGGGGGTTTCGGGGCGCGCCCGGGCCGCCCCCCCGGCCGCGGGCGCCCCCGTACCCAGGTAGACGCCGTAGGTGAGCGCGCCCGCCGCGCTGGCCGCCAGCACGTTGCGCAGCACCCCCAGGCGCTTGCGGCGGTAGTAGCGGCGCTCCTCCTCCTCCTCGTTGTAGTTGGGGTACGCGCCCACCAGCTCGTCCAGCTGCAGGGGCACGCGCGGCCGTCACCCCGAGGCCCGCGCGCGCCCCCGCCGGCGCCCGCCCCCGCGCTGCCCGCCCGGGCCCCGCGCGCCCCCCGCGCCGCTCACCGGGGCCGCCGGCCCGTCGGGGACCCGCAGCCGGTCCTCATCGTCCTGCGGCCCCGCGGCGCCCGCCACCGGGTACACCTGCGGCTCCGCCTCCATGCCCGAGCCCGCGGGGACCCCGGCCGGCCGCTGTCCCGCCGTGGGGACGACGCTTCCTCCGAGCGGGACCCGCCCCGCCGCCCGGGGACCCGCCCGCCGCCCCGCCTCGGCGCCGCCCCCGGGAGCGCCCGGAGTGTGCGGGGTGCCCGTGCGCCCCCGTGCGTCCCTTGTGTGCAGGGGTGCCCGTGCGCCCTGGGTCTGTGCAGGGGTGCCCGTGCGCCCTGGGTCTGTGCAGGGGTGTCCGTGCGCCCTGGGTCTGTAAAGAGGTGCTGTGCGTCCCGGCGCCTGCAGGGGTGCCGTGCTCCTCGGGTCTGTGCAGGGGTGCCGTGGGTCCCAGCGTGTGCAGGGGTGACCGTGTGCCAGGGTCTGTGCAGGGGTGCCCGTGCGCCCCCTTGTGGCCCATAGTGTGTGTGCGGGGCGGGGGAAGGATGCCTGGAGTCCTGGGTCCGTGCAGGGGCTACCCTACACCCCATGAGTCCCATCTATGAGTGCGTGTGTGCACGTGTGTCGGGGTGCCCGTGTGTGTCCCTGTCAGAGATGTGAGTTCCAGTCCCGTTTAATCACTTCCTGTTTTGTAATTTGGGGGTTCACTCCACTTGCCTCAGTTTCCTCTGCTGTAAACAGGGGTGCTCATCCCACTTCCAAGGCCAAGGGGCCTGTCCCTTGCCTCAGTATCACTGCTCTCTGCCGGGCTGCTGTGTTTGCAGATCAACAGAGGGGCGCCCCCTCGGGCCCCCCGCGGCTCGGCCACTCTGTCCACTTCCTGTTCCACATTAGCGTCCATCCGAGGGCCCTGGAAGTCCTCAATCACGATGGCTGCTGGGTGACAGTGAGGAGACTCCTGCAGGGCCCCCAGAACATCTTGCAAATGCCCCGGGGCACAGGGCCTTGGGGGAGATCTGCAGCCCCGTCCCTGAAGATCCCGAAACCACCTGCTCAGAAATACCTGGAAGGTTTTTTGGGGGGAACTCCTCTGACAGCGTTGTTCCCATCAGTGACGCAGGGAGCACCAGACACCCCTTTTCCCTAAATGAAAGGAGACACCAGGGGCTGGAGCGATAGCACAGTGGGGAGGGCGTTTGCCTTGCACGTGTCCGACCTGAGTTCGATTCCCAGCCTCCCATATGGTCCCCCGAGCACCACCAGGAGTGATTCCTGAGTGCAGAGCTAGGAGTAACCCCTGAGCATCGCCGGGTGTGACCCAAAAAGCAGAAAAAAAAAGGGACACCGACTCACATCATTCATAAAATTCAGCTCAAAGTTTACCCAAAGTGTGACCGAACTGATACCATCAAAACTCGAATAACGGGACTGGAGTGATAGCACGGCGGCTAGGGCATTGGCTGTGCACACAGCCAACATGGGTTTGATTCCCAGCATCCCATATGGTCCCCCGAGCACCGCCAGATTAATTTCTGAGTACAAAGCCAGGAGTAATCCCTGTGCATTGCTGGGTGTGACCTAAAAAGCCAAAAAAAAAAACACAACAAACCCACAAATGCATCACGTGCTGCTGAGGATGTGGGGACAGGGCCATTGCATGGCGTTGGGGGGACCCAAGCGCGATGGGAAACTCAATGACTGTTCCTCAAAATTCAAATTCAGAGTCAAACCAATGGCTCCAAGGGCTGGGGAGAGGCTTTGCATGCACGAGGCCCAGCTTTGACTCCCAGCACTGCTGGTCCCCCCGATACAGCGAGGACCTGGTGGTGCCCTGTCCCCCACACCAACCCCCTGACCCAGGCCCCTGCTTCCGGGTGCAGAACGGGTCAGCACTGAGGCCTGCCCCTGTGCCCTCTGTGGATTGCAGCAACACCCAGGAAGTGGGACCCGCCAGTGTGCAGGGCTGAACTGGCAAGTGAGCAGCACACGGAGGCCGCACGGCCTGGCTTGACCACACTTTAGGCCCCAGGCAGCTCCGGAGCCGCCCTTGGCAAGCACCAGCCCTTGTTCCAACAGTTCCGAGACTGCCTGACGGTTCAGGAAGGCACATGTGGTGGTTTTCCGGCACAAGGCTGTGCTGTGTGCAACAACCCGTGTTAGGTTGAGTGCAAACCCAACTTTCACAGGCACTGGGAAAACCAGAAAATCCACAAGACCCGCTCCATTGCGACATGTGCGTCACCACTGTGGTCTTGCCTGGTTCTGCAATGTCCAGGCCACGGGCTAGGAGAAGGAACAAGAACCTAGAGGGGGTGGCGGATCTCAGGGGCTGGGGGTTGACGAGACCAGCCCTGAGCTCAAACACACACACACACACACACACACACACACACACACACACACACACGGGCAACAGATCACAGACACTGAACTAGCTCGGAGACTCATGCGTGGTATTGCCCAGCAGTAGAAGGGAGGACACGGCAGCCCCTGCCACGGAAACAGCCCAGTTTCATAGCCTCAGGAGGAACCTTGGGAGAGAAGACAAGTTCTATCGGTTAAGACAAGCAGATAGAACTCAAGGGTACCTGGGTCTCAGGGCTGAAACCTCTAGGGAGCCCTCGGGAGAGCATGCGCTGAGAATCATCCCAGGCTCACAGATACTGGAGTTCCTGGTGCACGCAGCAGCACATGTGAACACACACCTCCAAATCCCACCATACCGAGGCGTTCGGCAAATAAGGGGAAAGTAGTACAGATGCCAGCATGGCTCACTGAGCCGAGACAGCGACAGAAGGCTCAGCTGGTGGCAGCTCGGCCAGTTCTCGTTCAAAGGCTTTAATAACACCACTGTATGATAGATAACAATTCTCACGCGTTTCACTGAACCTCTTTTTTCTTTTTTTTTTTTTGCTTCTGGGGTCACATCCGGCAAGGCACAGGGGTTACTCCTGGCTCACGCACTCAGGAATTACTCCTGGCAGTGTTCGGGGGACCCTATGGGATGCTGGGAATCGAACCCGGGTCGACCGCATGCAAGGCAAACGCCCTCCCCGTTGTGCTATCGCTCCAGCCCCTGAACTTTTGTTTTTGACAGTCCCACTGACCATTTTGTCATAATAAGTGATTATAAACTAATCTTGTGCCTTCCGAGGGGGAAGAAACTGGGGGCAATGGTGGAGGGAAGATCCCACTGATGGGGGGCTTGGTGTTGGAACATCGAATGCCCGAAATAACTGTACCGTGAGTGACTTTTTATGCCTGATGTTTAAAGAAAGTTCAAGAAGAGGGAGGGACAAGACAGTTATGGGGCGTGGTGGTGGGGTTAGCCCCGGAAGGAAGCACAGGGCCACACGTCAGCTTTGCTCCAGGCTGCAGAGGGAAAGGGTGCCGTATGCCCACTGCATCTCTCTTTCTGTCGATTTATTTTTTGGGGGGGAGGTGGTCACACCCAGAGGTGCTCAGGGCTTACTCCTGGCTCTGCACGCAGGGATCACTCCTGGCAGGCTCCAGGGGACATACGGGGTGTCACGATGGAACACGGCCACGCAAGGCCAGCGCCCTGCCCACTGTGCTCTCTCTGGCCCCGTCTGGCTCCCTCTTTTCTGGGCCATCCCCAGCGGTGCTCGGGGATTGCTCCTGGCTCTGTGCTCAGTGAGCACTCTTGCTGCTTCTCCGGGCACCGTATGGAGTTCCGGGGATCGAGCTAGGGCAGCCGTGTGCCAGGCAAGCGCCTGCCTGCTGTAATCTCTCCAGGTCCTCACCTGCACTGTAGGACATGCCTAGCGGCCTGCCCAGGTGCCCCTGCCCCTCATTCCCGACACCCTGGGAATCAGAACCCACCCCGGTGAGGGCGACCCCCGCGATTACACTCTGGATTATCTCTGGCTCTTGGTATGCCCCTCACCTCCCACATACAACCCAGGGTCGGCTCCACGCACCCCCAAGTATTGGATGCTTCTAGAGGTCCAACAGGGGTGTGGGCCCAGGTGGAGACAGTGACCAAAAAAGACCCCCAGGCCGGTTCCTTTCTTCGGGCTGTTGCTGTGGAGACAGCAGTGCCAGCATTGTGGGACTGAGCATGGGGTCTCACATGCAGCAAGATGTGATCTCCCGCCCAACTCCAGCCTGGGCCAGCGTGCCAGGGCCCACCCAGGCACACGGCACGAACAGCAGCCCTCGGTGTTCCTCCAAACCGGGAGGGCCCTGAGCAGCACAGAGACTGAGCCCCCTGCGACAGCAACAGTGTGACCCCAGCACCACCAGGCCCTGGGGGGCTGCTGAGCCCTGCCCGGGGGTCCTGGAGATCCCCGGCACCAAGTGGCCTCTGTGGCTCACATCCCAGGCCTCGCGCTGAGTCGCTGGGAGGAAACCCTGGTTCTCCCGAGCGTTGTCTGGACACCGCCAAAATAATAAAACAGGGGCCAGAGAACTCATCCAGTGAGACGAGGTGACAAAGATTCAATTCTCAGCATCTCTGGGTCCTGCCTGGTGTGATTCTGGAGAGCAGGGCCAGGAGGAAGCCTGAGCACTGCCAGGCGTGGCCCCAAGACCAAAAGAAAAATAAAATTAAATAAGAATTCAAAGATTAAAAATAAAAAGGGATATACATGTTAACCTTTCGGGTATCTTTATTTCAAACCATAATGTCGCCAAGTCGAAGATATATATATATATATATATATATATATATATATATCACACCCGCCAACTGGACCCCTGGCGCTGTGTAATCCCATCAATGTCCAAGACCCAGAGACTATAAAACCCAGCTCCCGGAAGCGCACGACTGCATTTGCGGCTGCGTGACATCTTATCTCATTCTTACTTTGGACAAACCGGCAGGCTTCCGAATGTAGCCTGCCCACACGGCAGAGTCTGGCAAACTCCCCGTGGCGCACCCAATATGCCAAATACCAGTAACAATGATGGGTCTCATTCTCCTAACCCTGAAAGAGCCTTGAATATGGCACTTTTTAAAATCTCAGGGCTAGGACGAAGGAGACGTTACTGGGGCTTGCTCGATGTAATCGACGAACAACAGGATGGTCCTGATCCTGAATGTCCAGAAGGGGAGGGGGAAGAGAGAGAGAAAGAGAGAGGGAGAGAGACGGAGAAAAAAAGAGAGAAAGAGATAGAGGGGGAGGAGAGAGGGGAGAGAGAGAAAGAGAGAAAAAGAGAGAGGAGGGAC